TGTTGCAATGTTTTTATTGTTGGCTCTTTTGTCAAAATTCAGTCTACTTGTCAACAATCTAAGAATAACATCCAATTCTTATAGTTAAATATTAATGATGTAATTTTTTTAAAATTCCTATACCCTTTCTTCCTTTCCTTTTCCTTTAAAAACCTCCAAGCAAGAAAAAACTTTTGAAGTGGTGTCATGCTAAACCTATTCCAATATGCATGGTTTCCAATCCTACTTCCCCTTTTTTATTTTTCTGATTCCCTCTCCTACACTGTTGTCAGATTCTACTATTCGATATTTGTTGGCTACTCACTGTCTGCTTAGGAGAAAATTTTCTTACAAACAGAAATCTTCTGAGAAAGAGATTAATTTGTATTTATCAATACTTTGATAAGCAACATGTAGAAATGGTCATTATTGATCTAATTCCCAGGCTCTTGTTTAGTTGAGGAACATAAGCAAAGAACCAGGACTTAATTATTAATGGCAATGGAGAGGCCTCATAATATGGGAAAAGAAAAAGGACATGAAGCAACTAGCATACGAAGAATAGACAGATCCAGTGGTGAATTGCATTAAGTTTTTGTTGTAAAGTGAGCAATATGAATCTTTACCACTCTATCCCCACCACCTTTCACCCCCATCCCTCTGCCAAGACATTGCTAAGAACAAATTTTTTCATGATTCATGGTAAGATGTTTTGAGGGATGTGATAGTGTGCCAAATGTGATTTCAAAGGGATCCCTGCTCAAGAGAGGTCTTGTTTGAGACTAGCAGTCAGGAGTTGGAGCTAAAATGCAGGCCCTGGCTGCTTGATGAACTAACTCTTCACCCTCAAGCAGAGCCACCTTGAGGGTGATCACTGGATGCTAAACTTCAGTGCAGCAAACCCATTTGACTTACAAGTATCCCATGCTACTTCCTCTTTGGTCTCATAGCACTTACCCAACTCCACTCCACTCCATGCAACTCCACTATCCATTTTATGGATTATCCAATAAAAATGGCTAAGGCATATTGAATATTGACAATGAACCGGACTCTAACTATACTATATGATGAACTCTTTTAATCCTCACAACCACTCCATGTATTATCTCCATTTTGCAGATGGAGAAGCTGAGGAATAGAACATGAAAGGTACTTGCACAAGCTTGCACAACCTAGTAAATGCTAAACTCAAGTAGTCTAGCTCCAAAGCCCACATCTTTTTTTTTTAAAACATATTTTATTGATTTTTTTTACAGAGAGGAAGGGAGAGAGATAGAGAGTTAGAAACATTGATCATCTGCCTCCTGCATACCCCCCACTGGGGATGTACCCGCAACCAAGGTACATGCCCTTGACCGGAATTGAATCTGGGACCCTTCAGTCCGCAGACCGACGCTCTATCCACTGAGCCAAACCGGTTTCGGCCAAAGCCCACATCCTTGATTGGTCTTCTCTGCTCCTCTACAATCTGGTCTTTCCCTCTAATGTGAATAAATGTAGATTTATTCTACAATTAATCTCAGTTGCTGGACTCGTGCCCCAAATTCATATACTCAAATAATGTTATAAATTATGATTGAGCCTGGCTGGCATGGCTCAGTGGTTGAGCATCGACCTATGAACCAGGAGGTCACAGCTCGATTCTCAGTCAGGGCATATGTCTGGGTTGCAGGCTCAGTCCCCAGTGTGGGGTGTGCAGAAGACAATCAATGATTCCCTCTCACATTGATGTTTCTATCTCCTAAGAGTTAGCATACCTCAATTTATTTTTTAATGGGATAGAATGCACATCTATAATACACTGAAGAAAATGGAATTAGAACAAAAAGTGGAGGTTATTCTTGAGGAATGTTTTTTGAGTCCTTGAGTCCTTGGTTGACTTCATGGTTTTTGTCTCACAGCAAAAAAACAGACCTCTAGATTTAGGATGCTAATAAATTTCCAATGACATTTAAGAGATTGAATGAATCCTTTCGCTCTACTCATATTTACACTAGAGTCCCTTTCCCTCCAGGCAGATTTTTATTTTCTGAGTAATAATAACAGGGAGGAGCAAGCACAACAATGCATATCTTATTTGTTTTATTGTGTTAAAATTCACAGAGAGAAGCATCCATTAAGAGATAGAGAGGACTGCTCTGTACTGAACTACCTCAGCAGTTTGGGAAGAGCTGAAGAAGTACTTAATAGTGATTCTATTACCAAGTCTGTTTATTCCAAATAGCTCCATTATTTTCCTCAGAGATAGGCTTATGTTTTTATGAATTTTTTAAATATACAAAACAAAAACTTCTGGACATTTAATTTTGTTGTAATATGTTGAAATAAAAGTTCAATATATTTTAATATTATTTTGGCTTTATTTTTATTACATACTATTACAATATATTACTCATTATCTATTACTGGCCCAGCTGTCTTTATTAGTTTAGATTTTTACTTTTTAAAATTCAAGTATTGCTTTTCCTCCTTATACTGAGATACCTATTTTATAAGAAATTCATTTTTTCTCTTATTGAAAAATTCAACTATCATGTAAGTAAAAGATGGGATTGGGCAAGGGGAGAATCTCTCAGGCATCAACCCTGGCAAATAAAACTGTACTAGGTACAAGTGTAAAATCAGTCAAATTGTTAGGGGAGGGAGGGAGAAATAGTGAGGAGTAGCTATAGTTACAAGAAATATTAACCATGCTCTGTAAACCATGATTGTTTTGTTCTGATTAAAGAAAGCACTGTCTGACCTGGCTGGGACCTGGGAGTTAACCTCCAAACGTGGCCCAAGCTCCTTATCAGAGAACTGCCTGTCTTATTGGAAAGATTAACAACCTTATTGCCAAATCAATGGAGTTCTGGAGGGGAGCCTGCCATTTGCAATCCCAGCTCACATTGCCTGTAAAGGGTAATCATTATACCTTCTTACTCCTTTTGTCTACTTACCCATGCCTATAATTCCCTTTGCCTACTTCCCTTGTAATCTTTGTCCTTCTACTCAAAATAAGCAGCTAGCTTACGGTGGGGGGTGAGGCTGGCTGGGGGCGTTTAGAGCAGTTATTTGTGGGTAATCTGCTGTTCTCCCATGTTGTGGGCAATATTGAAAAATAAAGGCTCATACATAATTCAACCCTGTCTTTGCTTGATTGGCAGAAGTAGTGACAGGCAGCCCAGACCCATTCCTTGTCTGGTTTCAAAATCTCTCTGACCCTTCTGGCACCTCCTTCCTTCCTTCTTCCAGTTTTTAAACTCCATGCTCCTTTTTCTCTCCCTCCTCTTAGGAAAGGATCTGGTGAACTGACTATTAGTGTGAGTGATTAATAATGCAACCTCACATACACCAATCACAATTCTCCAACTCAGTTTTAGCTAGCTCACCTTACTAGAAAATAGGACCTTCTAGCCTTACAAACAAATTCCTGACCTCCTAGCCCGGAACTATAATTAGGAAACATCAAGAAATAAAACAGAACAAGCCCTGGCCAGTTGCTCAGTTGGTTGGAGCATCATCCTAATATCAAGGTTGTGGGTTCCATCCTTGGTCAGGTCACATAGAAAAAGCAACCAATGAATGCATAAATAAGTGGAACAAATCTGTTTTTCTTTCTCCCTTCCTCTCTCTCTAAAAATCAATACAATTTTTTTTTTGTATAAAAGAAAACAGAATAAAAAGATAAAAAAGATAACAAATATATTTAAAAAGAAATTTAAAATACATATAGAAAAATAAAAAGTAGAATGACAAATTGCTATTTCTCTCTTCTTTCTCTAAAATCAATTTAAAAAAATGCTATTGCTATTCTGAAATATCTTCTTGTGACCAAAGAATGCCCTGGTCACTCTAGATTTTTATAGCTAAAGGCCTTAAAATGAACAGTTTTAAGTTAAAATTGGTGTTTTCAGTCTTCCAGTTCTTTATCCAAAGTCTAAAGGAGATACAAAAATCACTTAATTGTCCGTGTGAGTAGGCCTGGCCCTACTTTTCCTATAAGGACCCAGCTTAAGGATCACCACTTAAGTTTTTCCTTGAGGAACAACTTCTTACTAGAATGATGAGGTCAGCACTTGCCCCTCCCCCACAACTCTCAACTGCCTTTTTTGGACAGTTAGATGATTAGGGAGCAGTTTTTTCCTAAGAGGGGCGTGTGCTGATCAAACATCTACTTAAGGCACATGGCAAAGCTGAAGGACAAAAATATTTTTGAAAATATTTCAAAATGAAATAACCATTTTTGAGACAAATAATCAGAACTTAGTTATACTTTCTTACACTTACTTTGTGGTTTAGAATTGTTTATATTTTGAATGATATTTGGGAGAGTGTCCATGTAATCTTTTAGTCTTGGAGTTTCTAAAAGTCTTAATCAGGCTTTGGACACATACTCCGGAGAACCCTGAAATATTAAACCATAACAAGGAGCTATCACATAATGGGATCAGAATAGAAACAACCTTCATGATGTATCTGGATCTGAAATGAAGGCAGAATAAGTCTATTTTACTACTCATACTTCATTTTCTATTCAAAAAAGCTCAAAATAGAGTTAAATGGACATGCCACTGGATATTAAGAAAAAAATTAAAACCCTGATAAAAAGTAGGGTGAGCATTGGGTAAAGGGATTTAAAAGAAAAAAAGCATTCAGATGAGGCTGGGTCTGATGGATATGTCTTCAGTACTGCCTACAGTTGATTCAAATGTTAACAGTGAAGCTGTGAAGTACTGAGAAAGAAAATGACATGATATAAAAACTAGACTAGTAACTAAATATAAAATGTATTGGAAGAGAAAAATATAAAATGCTGAGACAACTAGAAACCTGATGGAGGAGGAATCCACAACCTTTTGTGATTAGGTGTAGAGAATAAAGGAGCAGGAGACTCAGTGACTACAAAGAAGGCAGCCATGGGCTAGGTTTTCTGTTGAGTATGGCTGTACTGTTTATTGAAAACCAATAATAGTTTAGTTACCATCCAAAATAGGGGAGGAAAAGAGTACTGCTTAAATCTGCTTTATTTCATAAGAGACCTCATTTCCAAGGTCCATACTTCCTAATAATTCAACTCAGGACAGTATGAGAATTACAACATAGCAAAAAGAAAAGTCATAGAAGTGAGTGGGTGATTGGATGTAAAGTGACAAATTAGGTGAATCAAGAGATAGATGAAAATGAAAGGCTTTACACGGACAGGATATGACTTATTGACAGTTCAGATTTAGCCCTGAAGAGGAGAGAAAAAAAAGAATAATGTTTCTCAGTTTTTGTTTGATGGATGATCTTTGAGAGATGTTTCTTTTGTTCTTGGATCATTTTCAAGCTGGCAAAGCCCCTCAGTTCAAGTATGGATGATCTGAAAGTCACAGTAAAGGAAGAATCAATATCTTGCACATAGAATGAAGAAATTAAGGTTTTTCAAGAGTTATATGCATAAATTAGGAAAAGAACCAGGAGAATCGAATCTAATAGTAAAAAAAGAAATGGGCTATGGTACATATGCTGCAACTCACTGAAAACCAAACTACTACAAAGGTGAAAAATTGTGCAATGAATCTCTGGTTTTGTTGGATTTCTGATTTCTGAGAGTTACGTAACTGTTATCTTGCTTTCTTTTTAAGGCCAGAATTACCCTCTACAGTTAAAATCAAGGAGGAAAAAGCAATTGGTTAATTATGGCAAAGGCAAAAAACTTGAGGCTTCTTGGCTTTTGTTATCTTGACCATGACCAGCTATGAAAGCCAGGATTTCATGGGGAAGACTTACTTTTACTCCATTTTTCGTCAAAAACTCCAACCACGAGGTTGCAGTTTACAGATCCATTGATATTTCTCAATTGTTCCAGCCTTTTCCATTCTACTGCAAGTGGTCTAGTTTCTACTCAGTAGAGCACCTGGCAGGTCTGCTGAATCTAGATGTCAGGTGATTACCATCCAGATAGGAGCTATGAAGAGGAAGGCCAGGCTTGACCAGCTTGACCACCTTTTCCAGGGTGTGGCCACATCAATGATCTCTCACTTTCTCTTTTTATCTTAAGATTTTCTCTACCTCTTCTGTCTGTGATTATTCACATGCTTGGGTTTCCCCTATCCTAGAAAATATTCTTTATTTTGACTCTCCTCTGCAAAACTTCTTAAAGAGAACTTTTTACTTCCTACTTCAACTTTCTGACCTTCCATTGGCCTCTTGGCCATAGTAATATGGCTTCCACACCCACTGTACTAGAGAACTGCTCTAACAGAGGTCACTAAAGCATGAGTTCTTCTTGGAAAGCACACCTGTCTTCATTCCCCCCAGGCATGTTACCTTTGCCTTTCTCCTCCCAAGCTCCAAGGACCCTTCTTCTGCCTCTGTAACTTGTTTCTTGAGCATATGCAGCCCAGCTGGCTCACTTAAAAACAAAACAAATATATGAATGCTACCGTGTTTCCCTGAAAATAAGACATCCTCCGAAAATAAGACCTAGCACATGGAAAGATAAGACATCCCCTGAAAATAAGACCTAGCTCAACTTTGGGAGAAAAAATTAATATAAGACACTGTCTTATTTTCGGGGAAACAGGGTAATATATAAGGCCATTGAATTCTTCATCTTATTTGAATTTTCTGCTGGACTCTGTGGAATACTTCTTTCCTGGCCCGTAAGATATTTGATGTTTGTTTTTTTTATACCTTTATGGTCAAAAAAATTTTTTTTTCATTCACTCCCCAAATTCTGACCATCTCTGAAGTGTTGGGTTTTCTAAAGTCTCTTCTCATAACAACACACTCCCTGCTATGAAGCTCCTTCTTTAGCTTCAGGTACTACATGAATATTTTCAAATCGTGTCTGGCTGTGTTCTCACTCCTGGAGAGCTCTCTCTTTTGTTTTAAAACCAAACTTTATTTAAACTTCTGGGTTTTGAAGACTATAATAAATAGTGCACAGACCACTTTCTCTCAGACTAACTATTGGAGGTCAGAGTTATGAGCTCTGTTTCAAGGTCTGCAAGGAGTCCTGGCTATTGCTCTGAGAGGTAGGTAGGGGCTCCTCTCTGGAACCAGAAAGCTCTAAGTCTCTTACAGTGGGTAATGGAGCTTTCTCATAAATAAGCACAGTAGTTTTATTAGAAAATAAATGAGCCACTACAAGATTACTTTCATCCATCTCACTTCCACTAATCCTGGCTTTTTTCTTTTCTTTTCTTTTCTTTTTTCTTCTTTTTTTCTTTTTTTCAGACAGGAAAGGAAGTTAGGAGGAGGGATGATAAGCCCTATTACAGACCCATTGGCACTAGAGATAGACTGTCCATAGAAATCCTCCAAGTAAAAACTCGTGGGAAGATGAGATGATCCTGAAGACAGCTGCAGCAGAAGCTTCTAGAAGGAAGCAGAGTAGGAAGTACCACATGGGGAGTTCAGTTTGAGTTTGAGTTTTTGGGGGCAGTTTGAGTTTTTGCTCATTTTGAGATCTAGCTTGAAGCTGGTTCCCAAGACCCAAAGGGCCACCTCCCAGGGTTCAGTAGCCTCTTCTTAAACTGCTGCAAACATCCCAAACACAACAGTTTGAGAACTGATCTGATCCTTCTGCAGGTACTCCAATTCTAGTTAACACTATTAACAATTCTAGTTAACACTAGAATTGGCCCCATGGAAACTTGCTGTTGGGGACTGACTCATCCCTCTTTAGCGGTGCCCCCTTCAGTTCTGGGCCAGAGACCTCTCTCCAGGCTAACTCCTTCCTATGGTGGACCAGTCCTCTATCAGCTTCGTACGGCTAGTCTCTACTCCATCCAATCTGTATGTCACAATGCAGCCAGAGAAACCTGTCCAAAACACATCCTAATCATTTGTCACCTTCTTTCATTAAAACCCCCACTGAGAATATCCAAGGCTTTTAGTGAGGCATCTGAGGTGCTTTACAACCTACCTTGACTGACCTGTCTTCCATTTTCATCTCTGGTGACTCCTTCCCTCATCCAAGCAACAGTGGACACTTGGTAATTTTTCAAACACTCCAGGCTACGTATGTGCTGAGCACCAACTATGAACCAGGCACTAATCTAAATTTTGGAATTTAGTGAACATGAAAGGAAGGCCTGTGCTCTCATGCAACTCACATTTTAGTAGAAAGAGCCAGTGAACAAACAAACAAGACAATTTCAGATAGTGATAAGGTGCTGTGAAGACAAATGGGGTGGAGGGTGAAATCAGTTATTTTAGCTGCAGTGCTCAGGGATGGTCCAAGAAGGCAACATTTCATTGAACTTTAATGATGAGAAACCAGACAAGCAAAGATCTGATGCAGAGTGTTTGGGGTCATTTGGGGCAAAGGCCTTGAAGCAAGAACTAGCTTGGTAGCTTGGCATTTTGGAGTTTCCAAAACAAAACAATGAGGCTGAATGTTACTATATGTCTGGAGGGGGGTAGGAGTGGGAGAGCAATGCCCTAAATAAGGTGGGGCCCGATCACAAGGGGCCTTGTAAGCCATGGAAAGGAGTTTGGATACTATTTTAAAGGCAAGAGGAAGGGTTTATTTTTTATTTTTATTATTTTTTAAAATTAAGGTATTATATGTGTACACATCTTACCAATCCCCACTATCCCCCACTCCCATACATGCCCTCCCTCCCTGAGTTTTTCGTCCATTGGTTGTGCTTTTATGCATGTATACAAGTCATTCGGTTGATCTCTTATCTAAGAGGAAGGGTTTTTAGTGAAGGAATGACATGTTGTCACCAACGGGTGGTCCGTGAGGTCCGAAAGGCTGGTGACAGCTGCTCTGATTTACCTTTTAAAAGATCACACTGTTCTTCATGAAGCAAGGGTTTCTGTGGAGAAGGTAAGTTTCAATGCCAGTTCCATGCTTTCAGGTTTTATGCTCAGGCATTCCTCAGCCTAGAATGACATTTCCCGGGGTCCAGGAAGCTGAAAAGAGGCCCCCTTTACTGCATTTCTCTGAATCCAGACCAAGCCTTGTTTAGCGATCAAGAAGATATGGGGAGGTGTCCCGTCATATCCTTGCTTCACCAACAATTCAGTCATTAAAAAGGCACACTCATTCACTTGGCGCCAGAGACACTGAGGAGAGTACAACAAGGTCCTCCTCGCTCCATCCCCTCCCCTACACCCTCAGCCTCCCCTCACACACCCCCTCCCCCGCCCGCTGTCAAGGGGCGGCTTTTTTCTGTTCCCTCCACCATCTCCTAACTCAAGGAGCAAGTCTCAGATTACGTTTGGCGCCGGGGAGCAGCGACACACCAGGCCCATGCGTAGGCGTGTCAGAGGAGCCTTCTCCCTAAGGTGAACGAGGCCACCTCGTTACAGACAGCCCAGCCATGCCCAGGCCAAAGAGCCGCCGAGACGAGGGCGTCGCCGCCGGCTTCAGGGCAGTGTGTGGACTACAACTCCCAGCAGACCCTGCGCGCAAAAGTGCCGATCCCTCCGCTTCCAATCTGTCCAGTCCACAGCGCCCATCGTGGCCCGCCAAGAGCCAAGTCCAGGTGTTGGGTTTTTTTTTTTGGTGTTTTTTTTTTTTCAAGACCCGAAGTCCGTCTTCTTATCATATTTCCAAAGAGGGGCCGCTCGGAGCCCTGGAGGAGAAACGGACTTCTTTGGGGAGAAACGCGGATGCAGACCATTGAAGAGACGCCGCTGTGAAGCTGCGATTTTCGCGCGCTTTTGCGCAGGTGGTTGTGGGTAGCGCGCCCAGAAGGGAGCACAGAGAGGGGATTTGTGATCGTGCAGCCCCGCCGGGCCTGCGGAGATGTTGGAAGACGAGTCCCACGCCGAGGGGGCGGCGGCGGTGGCCGCGGCCGGGGAGGCGCTGCAGGCCCTGTGCCAGGAGCTGAACCTGGACGAGGGGAGCGCGGCCGAAGCCCTGGACGACTTCATCGCCATCCGGGGCAACTACAGCCTAGAGGTGAGCGGCGGCAGGTGGGCTGCGGGTCCCCCCGCGCCAGGCCCCACCCCGGCCCCGCCCCCGCCCTCCCTGCGGGGCGGTGGGAGTTTCCCCACCCAGGAGGGTCGCCGCCCAGCCGGCAGTGCGAAATTGGAAAGGCTAGTTATAGATCAGTCCGTCCATTTTTTTTTTTTTTTTAATTTGAGGCGGGAAAGTGAAGTTCGGAAAAGGAGCAATTTGTCCAAGGTCACAAGATCCTCAGAGATCCCTTCAGACTCCAGACCAGACTTCCCTCCACCCCGCCAAACTCTGCAAACTTCTTGGCACTGCCCTTAATATCTATTAAAAATTAATATTATAGCCCTGACCGGTCTGGCCCAGTGGATAGAGCGTCGGCCTGCAGACTGAAGGGTCCCGGGTTCGATTCCGGTCAAGGGCATATACCTCTGTTGCCTGCACATCCCCAGTGCGGGGTGTGCAGGAGGCAGCTGATTAATGATTCTCATGGATGTTTCTGGCTCTCTGTCCCTCTCTCTTCCTCTCTGTAAAAAAAACAATAAAATATATATTTTTTAAAAGAATACTATAATAATAAAGCTAAAATGAATTGTGTGCCAACACATTCCTGCCCAGTGCTTGTACCCCTGTTTCCCCGAAAATAAGACAGTGTCTTATATTAATTTTTTTCTCCCAAAGTTGCACTAGGTCTTATTTTCAGGGGATGTCTTATCTTTCCATGCGCTAGGTCTTATTTTCGGAGGATGTCTTATTTTCGGGGAAACACAGTAAGTATGTCATCTCCCTGGGTTCTCAATACCACCCCTTGAGCACCTTCTGTGATCCCCTTTCCGCAGGTGCGAGGATGAGCCCCGAGGAGGTTAAGGTACTTCTTTGCCTGAGTCACACGCTGGGTTTGCGGTGAAGCCAGACTGAGGAGTCAGGGCAGCCACCCTTCCGCCTCCCTAGGGCGGCGGGTGTGGGTTGCTCAGCAATGAGATCAAAGCCAAAGGCAAAGTTCACACATGCTCTCTCTCCGCTCCACGTCCCTTCTCAGACCGGGGAACTTAGATTGTCCTGATGCTTTAGCACAGTGTGTCTGGCAATCCTTGTATATGATAGAAAATAAAATAAATGTAGGCTGTCATCATTAGATTTCCCCAGCCATTCTTGCATTTAATCCTCACAACAGCCCTGTGGGCATGGCAAAGCAGTGATTCTACTACTGCCTGCTTTCCAGACATCCTCCGAAAATAAGACCTAGCGCATGGAAAGATAAGACATCCCCTGAAAATAAGACCTAGCGCAACTTGGGGAGAAAAAATTAATATAAGACACTGTCTTATTTTCGGGGAAACAGGGTATCAAGGCCCAGAGAATTGCCTTGCCCTTGTCATTCTCCTAATTATAGGAACGCAGATAAGCACAGGCTCTCTGCAGAGGAGGTAGAATTGTGATGGAATGTATTTCAGTAATTACTCCAGTGGCTTTACAGTCCAAGGTTTTCATGACCCATGGGACCCGGACTCATCCATAAAGTGCTCCAGTGACTCACTCCCAGTGAAATAATTAACTGTGCTGCTTTTAAAGGCATAGAGTTGGACATTGCAGTTGAGTTTAAGTGTCTGTACATAAGGGAAAAACATCCAAGAGTGTCTCTTATATGTCTCCAGGGTAGGACTGGATAGACTGAGTAAAGAATATACTCCCAGGATGCAGTTGTGGGAGGCATGACTGGAAAGCTGAGGAAAGAATAAGAAATTAAGGGATATTATGAATCATGGCCTCTCAATGAAAACACACTGATTTTTTAAAATATTTGTTATTGATTTCAGAGAGGAAGGGGAGGGAGAGAGAATCATTGATCAGTTGCTTCCTGCATCTCCCCCTCCCCCCTCCCCCACACACACACTGGGGAGGGTCAAGCTTGCAACCCCAGGAACCAGGAATTGAATCTGGACCTCCTGGTTCATTGGTTGATACTCAACCATGGAGCTACACCAGCCAGACAACAAACTGATTTTTAAAAGCCTGAGAAAGCATTTCTGACATGTCAGGTCCTCATTTGGTCTTAGTGAATAAGCACTTACTGAGGCCAGCCATAGTCATTAAACTAGGCACCTCTTTCAGATTCTTGAATATGCCAACTGTTCCCACTTATGTGCTTCTCCATGCCATTCCCTCCACCTGAAAACTTCCCTCTCACCGCATATCCCAGGGAAAATTGAGGAGCTAGATCTCCAGTAAGGTAGAGTTGATAAAGACAATATTAAATGTTTGATTTAGAAAGCATAGATGTGTAATTAAGATTTCCTTTTTTTTTTTTTTTTTTAATTAAGATTTTCTGAGTGATTTTTTTCTACCTGAAGTGTTTTATTTTCTTCTGTCTTTGTTTTTGGTGAAAGGCTCTTGAAGTAGGCATTTTCATATTATATATCTGCTGCTTCCTAAGAACCCCTCTCCTCAGCCATACCTCTCTAATATACCTACTAATAACAAGCTCCTGCTTTCATTTTCCTCCATCGTTTCTTCTTAATAGCATACTAGAGGCCCAGTGCATGAAATTCGTGCAGGGGCAGGACAGGAGAGGTCCCTGAGCTTGGCCTGTGCCCTCACAGTCCAGGAGCGTTCAGGGCATGTCCTTAGTGCAGCTGAGGAGGATGTCCTTAGCACTTTTGGACATCCTTATCCTTAGCACTGCCACCGAGGCAGGAGAGGCTCCTGCCACCTCTGCTGCACTCACCAGCTGTGAGCCCCACTTCTGGCTGAGCTGCACTCCCCTTGTGGGAACACAGGGACCACCAGGAGGAGCTCCTGCGTTGAGCGTCTGCCCCCTGGTGGCCAGTGCGTGTCATTCTGCCATTCAGTTGATTTACATATTAACCTTTTATCATATAGGATATCTCACCAATTACAGATAATAATGTCTGTTTTTTTTAGCTCTAGACTTGGAGTTCCATGAGGTCAGAAACCATCTTTGTATTTCTAAAGCCTAGCATCAAGGACTCAAAATAGATAATATAGGTAACTTTTTATTTATCAGGGGGGAAAAAATCAAAGCAATAATTCTGGTATTTAAATTATTTTTAATCTTAATGGTGTTTTCATATAGTAGTCTGTATCCAAAGGCTCTATAACACTTTCTATTCCCAAATAATTCATTAATTAAGTCTTAAAAAAATATTCAACCTTAAGCTTACCTCCCTCTTTTTTTTACCTTTTTTTTTTTTTTTTGAACAAATAAGACTTTTTACTTTAGGGTAGGAACACTGAATTTTAGCTTTATTTGTGGCCACTCATTTCTTCCCACCCCTTTTGGATTATTGCAAGAAATCTACCAGTCTTTTTATCCTTCTAGAGCAGGAGTGAGGAACGTTTGTTTGTTTTGCTAAGAGGCCATTTGGATATTTATAGCATCATCCGAAGGCCATACAAAATTATCAACTTAAAAATTAGCCTACTAGCCCTAGCTGGTTTGGCTCAGTGGATAGAGCATCAGCCTTCGGATCGAAGGGTCCTGGGTTCGATTCCAGTCAAGGGCATGTGCCTGGGTTTCGGCCTTGGTCCTCAGAGGGGGGCATGCAGGAAGCAGCTGATCAATGATTCTCATCATTGATGTTCCTATCTCTTTTTTTTCCTTCCTCTCTGAAATCAATAGAAATATATATTTTTTTAAATTAGCTTGCTATATTTAGTCAGACATTTAATGAACTCATCCCTAATGACTTGACAGGGTCAGACCAAATGATTTTGCAGAGCTTATACAGCCTGAGGGCCAGATGTTCCCCACCCCCGTTCTCCAGTCTGGTCTTAAGATCTGCAAAACAATGAATAGCAACAGTAGTTTGTTGTGCTTTGAAATTTGTGTCTAACTCTTAACTTGAATTTCACATATAGATCATCAATGAAGTCATAAAGTGATTCTAGCTTGGATATATGTCAAATCTACCTCAGAATTATGTTGAATTCTCAAATGCCACCTTTTTTGTAGCATTGTAAATTGAAATATCTGCTTAGAGAGCCATACTATTTTAAAGATTGGGATAAATCCCCCAATTTTTACCTCACAAAAATGATAGTCTCCTAAATATCTACCTTGAACAACATCTTAATGGTGTTTTCATATAGTAGTCTGTATCCAAAGGCTCTATAACACTATAGGATATGTTGTTCAAGGTAGATATTTTTATGTGTGATTCCCTTGTCATCTTTCTACTCTGTTCTTTTCTTTCTCTGCCAAACTATTAAAAAATGGAAAGGAATTTTGGCATCATCAAAGCCGTGACTGGTGTCTTAAAATCAAGAAAGCTAGTGCTGAGAAATTTTAAGAGAACTCTTTCAGAAATATTATATTTGAGGTGTAAGTGAGAGATCTAGCTTTGGATTAATACTGATTTAGCGTGTTATGCAGGACTGAGAGTAAGAAGTTTTATACCTATTATTGCAGCTAACTGAGCTTTGTGGCCTTAGGCTAATACTTCCTTTCTCTGACTGTTATATTCAGAATGAATATTAGACTAGATAATTCAAAGATCTCTTCTGGTTTTAGAGTTCAAGCATTTTAACATAATAAATTCATTTTGCTATTTGTCTTTTTTCTGCCAGGGAGAAGTTATACACTGGTTGGCATGTTCATTATATGTTGCATGCCGCAAAAGCATTATTCCCACAGTCGGAAAGGGTATCATGGAAGGAAATTGTGTTTCACTTACCAGAATACTACGTTCAGCTAAATTAAGGTAAAGCACTTTGATTTTTCAAACATTGTTTTATAAGACCTAAATTGGATTTTAGAATTTAATTTCTGTTTATTTTAAAACATTTAACTTCATTCTTTTTTTTTTTTTTTTAACTTCATTGTTTTAAAAGCTTGTTATCATATATTCTTCCCCAGTTTTCCTTCCATGGCCTTTCTTCCTCAAATTCTTACTTCAACTAAGGCTTATGTATTAAATCTTTTTTCTTCTATAATTTTTCATTAATTAAAAAAAAATAATTTCAAGCCCTGACCAGTTTGACTCAGTGGATAGAGCGTTGGCTGGGGACTGAATGGTCCCAGGTTCGATTCCGGTCAAGGGCATGTACCTTGGTTGCGGGCACATCCCCAGTAGGGGGTGTGCAAGAGGCAACTGATCGATGATTCTCTCTCATCAATGTTTCTAACTCTCTATCCCTCTTTCTTCCTCTCTGTAAAAAAATCAATAAAATATATTTAAAAAATAAAATAAAATAATTTCAAGCACAAAGAATACTCGTGTACCCTTGATGCAGATTCACCTATTATTAATATTTGCTGTATTATTTTTCTCTTAAGTAATATTTTTCCTCAACCATTTCAAATTAAGTTGTGTACATTAGAGCCCTTTACACCTAAATACTTCAGTATATATTTCCTGAAATAACTACAGTATTGTTATCAACTCCAGCAAAGTTAACAATGATATCATAATTTTAAATAATCTGTCATCTCTATTCTAGTTTTATTAGTTAAATCAGTAATTTTTCTTTATAGCATTTTTTTTCTTCAGGTACAGTCTCCAGTCTAGAATCAAGCATTGCATTCACTTATGTCTCTTTAATTTTCTTTCATCAGGAATATTTCCACAGCCTTTGTCTTTTATGACTTGACATTACTCTTTGCGTAATCCAAAGAATCATTAGTAATACCAAAGCCGGTTGTCTTGCCACCATCAAAGTGGATTCTGAATCCAAACACAAAGATGACATCTGGTGTGGTCTTAAACATTTTGGCTAGTTTTCCCCGAATTTCTGTCTTGGGTACTATTGCCTTCCCAAAGATGAAGGGCTTCGATGTCCATTTGCTTCTGTTGAAGTAGTCTATTGGCCAAGCACTTCCTGGTCCAGATAGCTACTGTTTCTATCTCTCCCTCTCTCTCTCTCTAAAATTAATAAAAACATTTAAGAAATAACTAGTGTGGAAAAAACCACGATGGCAGCATAGGTAAATGCCTAACTGCAATCTCACACAACAATTTCAAAAAAATACAAGTAAAATACAAAATGGACATTATCCAGAATTATAGAAAAGTTGACTGACTGGAAATTCTACAACTAGAAGGAAAGAGAAAACCAGAAGGAAAATCAGAGGAGCTGTAAAAGCCTAAGGTACGGAGACACAGTGCGCGCACAGAGAGGACGGTGCCAGAGAGGAGGGGGAGGCTGAGTGCCTGGCTGGCGTTCCCTAGTGGGAAGGAGATAAAAGCTCCGGACTGTGCTGAACCCCAGTTCCGACAGCATTGAACCCCAGTTCTGGGCGAGACCCTGGGGATCCAGGCTCATACAGAGGGAGTCTGAGCTATAAAGCGGAAACACAGGGGAGCGGCGAAAGGCAGTCCCGGAGTCTGCTCACATTGCGCACAAATAACGGACTGTTGACGCTGGATTGCTGTAGCAGGAAGGAAACAAAAGCTCCAGACTGCTCCGAACCCCACTTCCAACCCCACTTCCAACTGAACTGAACCCCAGTTCTGGGCTCATTGGGGGAGAGCCTAGAATGTTTGGTAGAAGGCGAAACTCGAGGGCACCTTTCTCTCAGAGTTGCTTACACGGAGTACCAAAGGACACGGAGGAACACTGAGACTCAGGAACCTCATAGGGAGGGGCTGACCAGAAGCCAAGGCTGTAGGCTCCACCCTGAAACTCCACCCCATCCAAGCTGAACACAGAAGCTTTTGAAATTTTCCAAGTCTAGTTGAATAAGTCTGTCTCCTGGCATAGACACAGCTGATCCTCACAGCCAATTGGTCTGGAGGTCAGTTCCTTCCATTGATAACAACAACAATAAAGACTTAACTACAACAAGGCTGTACACACAGTCCACAAAAGGAGGCAACAACAGTGTCTACTTCAGGTAACTAGGAGACTGACCCACTGAATTATATAGGATACCTTAGCACACAAAGCCACCCTACCAGTTCAGGGAAGCAGCGAAAATGCCAAGACAAGGAAACAGATCACAAATGAAAGGAATGGAGGACAAAAAGAGACTAGATATAGAGTTCAAAACCATGCTTATAAGGTTTTTCAAGAATTTCCTAGAAAAGGCCAATAAAATAAACGAGACCTATGAGGATATGAAAAGGGATAAACTAGAAGTAATAAGGGATAAACTAGAAATAAAGAATTCATTGTCTGAAATAAAAAATATTATTCAGAGTCCTAAAAACAGAATGGAAGATCGCAAGAATCAAGTCAAAGATTTGGAACATAAAGAGCCAGAAGACACTCCTCTGCAGAAGCAAGAAGACAAGAGAATCCAGAAAGTTGAAGATAGTGTAAGAAACCTCTGGGACAACTTCAAGTGAACCAACATCAGAATTATGGGGGTCCCAGAAGAAGAGAGAGAGCAAGATATTGAAAACATACTGGAAGAAATAGTAACAGAAAACATCCCCCACCTGGTGAAAGAATTAGACTTACAAGTCCAGGAAGCGCACAGAACACCAAACAAAAGGAATCCAAAGAGGACCACATCGAGACACATCATAGCTAAAATTCGAAGAGCAAAAGACAAAGAGAGAATATTAAAAGCAGCAAGAGAAAAGCAGGTAGTTACCTATAAAGGAGCACCCATACGATTGTCAGCTGATTTCTCAGCAGAAACCATACAGGCCAGGCGGGAATGGCAAGAAATATTCAAGGTTATGAACAAGAACCTACAGCCAAAAATACTCTACCCAGCAAAGCTATCACTCAGAATCGAAGGCCAAATAAAGAGCTTCACAAATAAAAAAAAGCTAAAGGAGTTCATCACCACCAAACCAGAATTATATGAATTGCTGAAGGGGGTTCTTTAGGAAGAGGAAGAAAATAGAGATAAAAATTATGAACAACAAATATGTAACTATCAACAAGTGAATCTAAAAACCAAGGGAACTAAAAAATCTGATGAACAATATTAACTGGTGAATATAATAGAATCAGAGGTGTGGAAGGGGATTCTCAGGGAAAAGGGGAGTGGGGAGGTGCAGGAAGAGACTGAACATAAACTGTGTACCTATGGATGAGGACAGTAGGGGGTGGGGAAAGGGCAGAGGGTGGGGTGGGAACCTGGTGGAGGGGAGCAGTGGAGGGGGGAAAATGAGGAACATTTGTAATAATATGAACAATAAAGATTTATTAAAAAAATAAAATAAAAAATAACTAGTGCCATTCCATACACACACACACACACATGCTCTCTTAAATGCGCTTTAACACTACAGATTTTAAATCTAAGACCACATTAACATAGACAAAAAATGTCCCCATAATTGAATAAGCCAGAAACGAAAAGGAATAATCTGTTATTTTCTGGGTATGTACTATCTTCTTAGTTTATATTTAATGATGGAACCACACATTGGAACATAAACACTTGAGTTTTATTCTGAACCTGGTACTTTGTGATCAACTTCTAGAATCCACAACTTGGGATATTCTGTCCTTTCTCAAACTAATTTCGTTAACTCATCTATCTGTTGATTAACATTAATTTATATTTGTATTATTGTTTAGGTGCTGTAGGTAGATAGGTGTTGTCACTCCCTGTATATTAGAAGATATGGTATATAATGACCATTAATTCAAAATATAAATTTCCATGATGATTCTGGGAACCAAAGTAATAGCACTTGGGAAGTAAGGCTTTTTGTCCTTTTTTTTTTTATAATAAATTCAAGCTGTTTAATAAAGATTCGTAGGTATAAATAGAAGTTTCCTTTTCTGTCCATTATATGTACTCATTTTAAAGTTGTTTTTTTTCTGTTTGTTTAGTTTAATACAGTTTTTTAGTAAAATGAAGAAGTGGATGGACATGTCAAACCTGCCACAAGAATTTCGTGAACGTATAGAAAGATTAGAAAGAAATTTTGAAGTGTCTACTGTAATTTTCAAGAAATTTGAGCCAATTTTTTTAGATATATTTCAAAATCCATATGAAGAGCCACCAAAGTTACCACGAAGCAGGAAGCAGAGGTGAGACCCTTAAACCTTACATCATTGATATAAGTATGATATAAAGTCACTAGGGCCGAAACCGGTTTGGCTCAGTGGATATAGAGCATTGGTCTGTGGACTGAAAGGTCCCAGGTCAAGGGCATGTACCTTGGTTGTGGGCACATCCCCAGTAGGGGGTGTGCAAGAGGCAACTGGTCGATGATTCGCTCTCATTGATGTTTCTAACTCTCTCTCTCGCTCTTCCTCTCTGTAAAAAATCAATAAAATATATTAAAAAATAAAATAAAATAAAGTCACTAGGGGTATTTGCATTTTTAAAACTCTACTTTTAAAACTTAAGTTTCCATTAAAATCCATTTATAAGTACACATATTTGGAAATTCAGGGTAATGATTTCACTTTTTATGCTCTGATTATTTTATGCATATAAAATTTAAGTTTATTTAAATTAACCAGAGGTTGTCTGTCCTTTGTGAGTGGAATTTTGTATGTAATTTAACTTTACTATTTGTTATTTATATTTTCTGTTTCCGTTTAAATGACAGCTGTGGAGGCAAATTAGTAATATAAAAAGTACATTTCCTCTTTTTTTAGGAGGAGTCCTTGCAGTGTAAAGGATCTCTTTAATTTCTGTTGGACACTCTTCGTTTATACTAAGGGTAAGGTGATACTTTCAATGGTTTTACATTTCTACTGTGGGAACTTGTTGCTGTTTGATGTTAGAGGTTTCTGGGTTTGTGTTTCTTTTTTTCTTTCAAAGGTAATTTTCGTATGATTGGAGATGATTTAGTAAACTCTTATCATTTACTTCTGTGCTGCTTGGATCTGATTTTTGCCAATGCCATTATATGCCCAAATAGAGGAGACTTGCTAAATCCGTCATTTAAAGGTAAGACCTTATTTATTTTTCAAAACTGATTATCAGTTTTTAGAAAAAGTTTTAAAAATTGACCATATTCCTTTCCTCCTGTTGCTTTTCATACCCTGTCATACTAGGATTGCCATCTGATTTTCATACTGCTGACTTCAGGGCTCCTGAAGAGCCTCCCTGCATCATTGCTGTACTGTGTGAGCTGCATGATGGACTTCTAGTGGAAGCAAAAGGAATAAAGGAGCACTACTTTAAGCCATATATTTCAAAACTCTTTGACAGGAAGGTACTGTACTTATTAAATTACCAGGATTTTTAGGGGGTAGCGGTAGTAACCTCAGAGGAAGAGATAATGTTTTAAAGATTCAGAGTCAGGTTTCAGTCTCTGCCACATCGCAGAATTGGCCTATAATGTGAGGGACAGCCGTTGAAGAATGTGACCAATTAATTATATATATTATCAAGTAAAAATACACTGTCAGAGGTAGCTAAAGGAGGTTCTGATAAAAAACTATGAAAAACAGGAGGTCAGAGAAAGCTAATTTACTGCCACAATTTGAATAATTTCTATTTACTAGAAGTAGGATGGCGTATAGCAACTATAGCTTTAATTCTTTATAAATAGAGCAGAAAATCCTGTATAGTTTTGTATTCACTTGCAGACTATATGCATGCATTCTAGTTTGTTTTCCTCAAGAATTTACTTAGCTATTTCTATATTTGTGAAGTGGCTTATTCCTTTGGGACTCAATTTTTCATTTCCTGAATATTCAGCCTTTTAATCCAGCTAGACCTTGAGTTTTCTCTTTAATAAAATAGGGGGTTTGGATTAGGTCATCATGTGGTTCCTCTCTGCCAGTATGATGAGATTTTTCTTCAAGCATAAAGTCTTTCCTAACTGGATTCGATTCTTTGTCTCTTACACACACTTTTGTATTTAGTTTTATATTTCCTAAAATATCGATACATATTTCTGTGTGTGTGTGTGTGTGTGTGTGTATCATGACTCCTTATATCTATGTTAAATATCTTCAGTAAACTTCTAAGAGAATTCAAGAGTTATATCTGTTGTACTCTGCGGCCTCTGAGTATAATAATTGTACATCTTGGTATCTGGATTATTTAGCTTTGGACTGTTGTCTTAGCACAGAGGTGGGAAACCTTATTTCTGCCAAGGGCCATTTGGATATGAATAACTTCATTTGAGGGCCATACAAAATTATCAGTTTAAAAATTAGCCCGCTATATTTGGTCAACCATTTAATTAAATCACTCCTAATGCATTGGCAAGGCCAAATCAAATTATTTCCCACCCCTGTCTTAGCATCATTATAGCTTCTCCTTTCACCCCAAGTATCCTAGTTTAGACAATGGTCCTCCTGCCATGGACCACAGGTGTTTTGCTTGGTCTTTGTAGGGTGTTATTTAGTTCATTTTGTTTCATTCCATTTTTAATTTCCAGATACAGACCTTACATATAAAAACTTTTCAAAAATCAGAAGCTATAGCAATACTGGTTTGGAATTTCTACATGACTTTACATAGTAACTGTTGTCAAGCTAAATGATGGTCACTTCTTTGAAGATGGGAAATACCTTTCTGCTGTCATCATTAATGTATTGTATATTGACTCCTGACCTTTAGGGCATTTGAATTTACAACTCCTGATGTGTAGTAATCTTAAGTAGTGTGAATATGCAGCAGTACTAACAACAATATAGTTAGTTGAAACCAGTTTGGCTCAGTGGAACGTAGGCCTGCGGACTGAAGGGTCCCAGGTTCGATTCCGGTCAAGGGCATGTACCTTGGTTGCAGGCACATCCCCAGTAGGGGGTGTGCAAGAGGCAGCTGATTGATGTTTCTAACACTCTGTCCCTCTCTTTTCCTCTCTGTAAAAAATCAATAAAATATATTTAAATATATTAAACATATATGTATAGTTTTCCTCTCACCAGTGATAGTACGTGTTTCCTTTGAATCTTCTGCTTCAATATATGTTAGTTTCCTTTTACCATAGACAAGTGTTTAAAATTGGATAGCTTTCATCAGAATAATTATGGAAATTTGCTAAAAACACTACCTTAGCCCAGGCCTTGAGGTCCATCAGTTTGCATTTTAAACAAGTTCTATTAAGTGATTCATGTATCACTAAAATTTGGAAACCTCTGCTATAAACTGATTTTAACGTATTTTTAAAACTGACTTCAGCCTGGTTGGTGTGGCTCAGTGGGTTGAGTGTCATCTCATGCACCAAGAGGTCACTCGCGGTTTGATTCCCAGTCAGGGCACATGCCTGGGTTGTGGGCTCAGTCTCCAGTTAGGGGTGTGCAGGAGGCAGCTGATCCGATGTTTCTATCTCTCTCTTCCTTCCTCTCTCTGAAACCAATAAAAACGTATTAAAATAATAATAATAAATTTTAAAAGGCAATTTTCTTTTTAAAAAAGAAAAAAAGCCTTGACTTTTAAATGGTTTTTAATATTTTTGCATGCTGATTTAGTTTTACTGGCCTGAAAGAAATATTTAGTAATTTTATTTTGTGTTTGTATGATTTAAAACAACTACCAATGTGAAAATTTAGATAAAAATTTAGATAAATATGCTAATATGCTTAATTATATGATGTCACATAATGACTTTTTCCTCTTAGATTTTAAAAGGAGAATGCCTCCTGGACTTTTCCAATTTTACTGATAATAGGTAAGTATCTACCACTAATGGTGTCTAATATAGTATAGGTTGTCAATAATAATTTGTTGCAATTTATTAAGTGAAACATTATATTCAAGTTCCTACTGCTCTAGTGACATTGAGTGAGTGTTGTCCCTAAGCTTTGTTGCCTTTACATTTATTTTGAGGAACCATTGGTACTTAGCAGCTACTTTGAAGAGAAAGTCATAAACAGGCCCAGTTTCTTCTGTATTTGACTTTTTATTAACCAAATGTTGGCAAATTCAGAATGTGTTTATATTTCAAAGCCACTATTGCCTCAGTAATCAGATCTTAATTAGGTTCAACTAGTTTTCAGATTAAGTATATATTCTCTTTCACTCACCTTTCAAAGTAATTTATTGCTATGTATGTGAATGTGAAGAATGGTCATCAGGTAGGAGCCTCTGATATCATTAGATGAGCAGACTTAATAAAAAAGAGTGTGGCTCAGTTGGGTGGGCATTGTCATGCACCAAGGGGTTGCTAGTTGATTCCTTGTCAGGGAACAAGTGCAGATTGCAGGCTTGATCCCCAGTAGAGCATGTGCAGGAGGCAACTGATAGATGTCTCCTTCTCGCATCAGTGTTTCTCTCTTCCCTTTCTTGCTCCCTAAAAATCAGTAAAAGAAATATTTTTTTTAAAAGCAACAACACTAGAAAGTTATCAGCTTTTCCAGACTGTGGAGTCTAAATCTATCTTCAAATCAAGATAAATCCATTGTGTTTTATTCTGTTACTTGCTTTTATTCTTGCAGCTTAAAGTGATTTTTTTTTTCTCAGCAAAGCAGTGAACAAGGAGTATGAAGAATATGTTTTAACTGTTGGTGATTTTGATGAGAGGATCTTTTTGGGAGCCGATGCAGATGAGGAAATTGGAACTCCTCGAAAGTTCACTGGTGACACCCCATTAGGGAAACTGACAGGACAGGCTAATGTGGAATGTAACCTTCAACAACACTTTGAAAAAGTAATATAACCTAGACTGGCCTCAGTCTTGAATGATCTTTTTCTCTCTATATATGATTCTACTAACAGCAGAAGCATCTTTCAAGCTAAATCTTGGGTTTCTTCTACTAATTCATATTTCCCATGAAAGCCTTAAAAGGTAATTTTTAAAAACTATGCCATTTAGTATTTTTACCACATTTCTTGCTATTTTTCATATTTTGGATATATTTTCCCAGAATGTTTGGGTTTTTCAGTAGAGAATCTGTCTTGACATAAGGATTTATGGTTTCTTCCTAATCTTTTTATCACTAGCCACTATTTCACTGCTTTCAAATTTAGTTTGCTTTCCTATCCATGAAAATTATGTGCTCTTGCTGTGCTTCGACTATAAAACCCTGGACTTGATTATTAATAGCCAAGGCTTAATTCTGTGTATAAAGTGTAAAGTGGATTGGAGCATAAGGTTTAATGGAAAAGTCACTAGTCAAGAACACTAGTTTTCAAACTTTTTCATTTCATGACACACATAAACTTAATCAGTATAATTCTGTAGCACACCAAAGAAATATATTTTGCCAGTCTGACCAAAAAATCAGTTATACTTCTGATTTACCAAATAATAATAATAATAATAATAATAATAATAATTACCTACACTTTTTGCTACAAAGTGGCTTTTAAAAAAAATCAGGTGCCTAGCCGGGACCGATTTGGCTCAATGGATAGAGCGTCGGCTTGGGGACTGAAGGGCCCTGGGTTCGATTCCGGTCAAGGGCATGTACCTTGGTTGCGGGCATATCCCCAGTAGGGGGTGTGCAAGAGGCAGCTGATCAATGACTCTCTCATTTATGTTTCTAACTCTCTATCTCTCTGCCTTCCTCTCTGTACAGGGATCAATAAAATATATTTTAAAAAAAAAAATCAGGTGCCTATACTTGTATATAAGGATTTCTAGTATAATTAACTAGTCAGATACAACCTTTTGCGATGCGGCTAATAACTTGAACTCTGTTATATAACCTATATATTTATGGTTCAAGACAGGGCATTCACAATGGACAGTATTTGTTGTGTTGGCTGTTGTTAGTTTTTTGGGGGAGGGCCTGTTATAATTTTTTAATTTGACAATATAAAGGAAAAAAGATCAGTGTCCCTGACTAAATAGTCAGGTATTACATGCTTTAAAAATTCTTGCAGCACACTAGTTAAAAATCACTTATCTGGAAGATAGACAACCTAAGTTTTAGTCCAAGCTCTGCCTGCCATTAACTTCATCAGCTTAAACAGGGTTTTTAAATTCTCTGTGCCTGTTCTCTTATAAGTAAAATGAAAATGTATATGTTATTTTTAAGTGAATGTTAAGAAGAGAAAATGAGATTATGCTTTGAAAAAGTGTTACTCAAATTTAAGGATGTTATTAACATGATATTGCTAAAAATTTGGTGGATAACCAGAAGAGGAAGGGGAAAAAGTAGCTTACTAAATTTGAATAGAGAAGATGATATATATACTGAATTAAATACATAATGAAGGGGAAGGTAACTTTTTAACCTCACAGATTTTTCTTTTTTTTTACAGAAAACATCATTTGCACCTTCAACTCCCCTAACAGGGCGACGATATTTACGAGAAAAAGAAGCAATCATTACTCCTGTTGCGTCAGCCACTCAAAGTGTGAGCCGATTACAGAGTATTGTGACTGGGCTGAAAAATGCACCAAGTGAACAACTTATAAATATTTTTGAGTAAGTTCAGTACTATTATTTTTCTAAATGTCTCTTAAATTTTGTATTCCATTTTTGTATTTAGTATATTCAGAATTCTTAAGAGAGTGGATATACATTGGGAAAGTTTTACCATACCATTTCAATCACAAAATGTATTGACCTAATATCAGATAGAAGTATCTTTTAAAAATTTCATATCAATATTCATATTATTATAGACTTTAAAGGTTAAATATATCTGAAAGGTTATTTAGCTATGACATTCCATTCTGGTAACTATCCCTAAGTTATACATTATTGTTTTCCTTTTTGCTTTAGTTTTAAATGGGTTCAAGCTAAATGTTTATAAAATGGAGGAGTTACATATTGATGGTGCAGCCTTAAAATATATTTTTTGCAATTGTTTAAAAAGAGACAATTGTAAGAACCTGGTGGGATTCCAAAGATAAAACCCAGGACAATTTGCCCTCTCTTCCCCCAAGACTGTAGCACCAGGAGTCTCCTACTTCTCACACAGTAGTCTCTCACTCAGCTTTTAGCAGTTCATTAAAATGACCATTAAGTATCCTTACAAATTTATGCTCCTTCTTCTACTCCAAAAGTATGGAACAATGAGATAGCTTTCCTGATCAGCAGGAAGACACTGATAATTGGGAAGTTTGATGTTTGCTCAGTGATAATTTTGCTACGCTGGAATCCTAAAATTTACGCTGACCTTCAAGAGCAACTGAAGCCCTTCAAATATGTGCTGATTGCCCTTTATCTCCTTGTGTTTATAATTCTCATTCTGAATAGTGGTAAGAAATGAGTAAACTAGAGGAGTGTGTATAATGCATCAGCAGAAATTATGTCTATGAAAGAAAAACAAGCACATTTGCAATAGGAAATAAAAGGAGAAGTGAAAAAAATAAGGAGAAGTGAATCTCTTTCTCTGAAAACAATAAAAATTTTAAAAAACTAAAATTAAAGAAGTGAAACTATTGAACAACATGAACTAATGATCCCAGGCTGAAAGATTGGGAACATTCTCAGGCATTGAAAAATACTACTTATATTTAAGGTCCTCCTGTACACCTTGAAAAGAAGAGAGAGATATCACACTGGAAAAGATGGTCCATGATGCATTCCAGATCTAATATCAGGTCCTCCAGGTCCTAAAGGTGATTGGAGAACAATTGGCTTTCTGAAAGTCAAGGATTCTCAGGACTAGTGGAGAACACTGGGAGACAGGAAATCCTGGACAAAAAGGCCAGAAGGGGGAAAGAGGGAGAAGAAAAGAAGCATGTTAAGACCAGTATGACTCCCTGATCGTATTAGGCAGAACCCTCTTAGATCAGGTGGGTTGGGTAGGACACCTTCTGCTATCATCTCATTAAAAGGCCCTTCACTTCTGGACAAATTAGCACAACTGATTCCAAGATCCCTTTGTAGTTCCTCCAAACAACCAGGTAGCCAAGCTTTTTTATGGCTTTCTCTCCTGGTCCTGGGTGTTGCTGCTGGGGCCTCTGCTCTCATGCTCAGACCTCTACCCTCTCTGTACCCCTGCATCACTGTCATCCCCTAACCTGGACATCTTCCATTGTCTGTTTCAACCAGTGCCAGGCTAGAAGTCCACTGATACCCCCTTAACTAGTGTCTTGCTAAACCAGTTTAATCAGTTGAGTTCTAGAAATTTTATAGTTACTTATAAAATTTTATAGGTACTTATGTGGGTTCATTAATTAAAAAAACACCCAACAAGAGGAATGACATAAAAAGAAAATTCATTTATCATATGTTCATTGTGAACCTCCTGGAGTTGGACTTGATAGCTAATAAGATACCTGTTGTGTCTGGCCTTACAAAGCTAATTGTCCTGAAAATCATAGAAATGTAAACAACAATTATACAGAACAACAGAGCTATATTGGAGGAAGAATAGGGTTCAATAAGTGTTTAGAGAAGATCAATATTTTTAAATTACTTAGAATATTGAAAAGATAATTGATTTTGATTTGCATAGTTAACCTTATCTTCTTAGGCTCCAAATTATAGCCCTTTTTTTTCAAATTTTATACTGAGGTAAAGTGGAGCTTGAACAGTTCATTTAACACATTTGAACCAAAAAAAAAAAAACCCACAAAACTTTTTTTTAATTTCCTGCTAATTTCAAGCAATAATTTTTTTTTATCAGGTCGCTGCAAAAAGAAAGAAGAGTGGAAGAGAGAGAGAGAGAAAGAAAAGAAAAATAGAATTCATGAAAAAAGTAAAGCTGATAATTTTTTTATTCTAAAAATATTTTAAGCTTTAATTATTCAGTGTAGGTCATGGAGGAAAAAGACATATTTCAATAGCACTAGAGATACTTTGTGTAGGTAAAGAAAGGGCTAAAACAATGAAAATGGAGAAAGGTTAAGAAAAGGCAGATAGCCCTAACCGGTTTGACTCAGTGGATAGAGTGTTGGTATGAGGACTGAAGAGTCCCAGATTCGATTCTGGTCAAGGGCGTATACCTTGGTTGCAGGCACATCCCCAGTAGAGAGTATGCAGGAGTCAGCTGATTGATGTTTCTCTCTCATTGATGTTTCTAACTCTCTATTCCTCTCCCTTCCTCTCTGTAAAAACTTAATAAAAATACATTTTTTTAAAAAAAGAAAAGGCATACAAAAAAAGAAATAAGAAGTCTAGCACAAAGATGATAGCATAGGTAAATGCAGCATTCCTCTTCCACAATCACATTAAAATTACAACTAAAACACAGAACAGCCATCATTCAGAACAGCCTGAAATCTGTTTCAACAGAAGCCCAACAACTAGAGAATTAAAGAAGGCACATTGAGACTCTAGGAAGAGCAGAAGCCAGAACGGGCTGGTTGGACATCCATATGTGGCAGTTAAAAATCAGGAGGGATATCTTGTCAGCGAACCTCCCCCAGTGAGGAGCAAAGGATCCCAACCCCACACCAGATCCTCAGCCCAGGATTCCAGTGCCAGAAAGAGTAGTCCCCATAACTTCAGGCTGTAAAAACAAGTGGGGTTGTGGCTGAGTGTCACAGAGGCTGCTTAAGTCCCAGGTAGTTCCTCTTAAAGGACCTATGCACAGACTCAGACTCACTCCCCCTGAGCTCCAGCACTGGGATAAATTAAAAGGATCCAAGGGCATACAGAGATGAACTAAATTGTCTGGCATCAGGACAAAAACTAGGGCCAGCCTTCTCCCAGATAGAATTACTAGCAGAGGTCATTGTTCCTTGGCTGAGACCTCCCTTACCACAGAGCCAACAGGCAGTAGCCATATCTGAGTCTCCATCAACCTGACCAACACTGTTCACCAGTCCTGATGATACCCCGAGACCCCGCCCCACCCAGTTTGCATCCCCACCCAAGCTGTTTGCTGTGGATTTTCCATATGAATGGCCTTTCCTGGCTCAGACTTCAGACTTCCATAAATCTCTTAAACAAGCAGCAGCTGGCCTTATCGTCGTGCCCATATGTCTTGATAAGTGGTCACACGCCCAGCACTAGCAGCAGCTTTCTAAGGTTCATAGCTTGGCCTCCTGGGCACCTCCAAGCCCAACACAAGTAGAACCTATCTGCAGATCATTCTGTAGCTCATGTCGGGTGGCCCCATGCAGGGCACAGGCAGCAGTTGACTTAGCACCTCTCAGGAGACACCAGAGCCAGTGTACCCACTTTGAATATTTCTTGCTACTCCTTTCTGCCTGCAAAGTTTCTGTTCAGAAATCAGCTGATAGTTGTATGGTTGCTCCCTTGTAGGTAACTTAACTGCTTTTCTCTTGCTGCTTTTAAGATTTTCTCTTGTCTTTAAACTTTGGCATTTTAATTATGATGTGTCTTGGTGTGGGCCTCTTTGGATTCATCTTATTTGGGACTCTCTAGGTATACAACTGAGACTAGAACTTTGATCATGAAAAACAAAGATAATCATTAAAAGAAGAAATGTTGGTAGGCTGGGTTGTTCTTTTTTCCCTGGTAATTGAATTCCTGTTATATTTAATAGATCTTGTATGCGTAATCCTATGGAAAATATTATGAAAATAGTGAAAGAAATAGGAGAGGCTTTCTGTCAACACTATACTCAATCAACAGATGAACAACCAGGATCTCACATAGGTAAGAAGACAAAATTAAACTTAATACAGCAATAAAAATAGATTGTCCTCCCAAAAAAGTAGAAATTCAAGTTTTTCCTTCCCAGCTATTCTTTTTTTTTTTCTTTTAGAGAGAGAGTAGAGGGGAGGGAGGAGGGTTGGGAAAGACACAAAACCATCAATGAGAGACACATTAATTGGTTATCTCCCATTTGTACCCCAACCAAGGCCGGGGATCAAACCTGCAACTGAGGTACATACCCTTGACCTGGGATTGAATCCCTGACTCTTTGGGCTGTGGCTTTAATTATTGAGCAACCAGCCAGGGTTCCCTGCTTTCTTAATTTATTTAAGTTTATGTGTTTTGTTTTTAAGTCCTTAACAGCTATGTTTCATTAACACATTTTCCCTTTTTTCCCCCTCTAAGACTTTGCTGTAAACAGACTAAAGCTTGCAGAAATTTTGTATTATAAAATACTAGAGACTATAATGGTTCAGGAAACACGAAGACTTCATGGAATGGACATGTCAGTAAGTAAATTGCCTCTCTCAGCAACTAGCAAGATTCATAAATCTTAAGCCTGGCCCGGCTGGCATGATCAGGAGATCCTGGATTCAGTTCCTGGTTAGGGCACATGCCCAGATTGTGGGCTTGATTCCAAGTAGGGGACCTGCAGGAGGCAGCCCATCAATGATTCTCATAGTTGATATTTCTATCTTTCTCTCCCTTCCTCTCTGAAATCAATAAATATATATATTTTTAAATTACATTGATTTCAGAGAGGAAGAGAGAGAAAGATAGAAATATCAACTATGATTTGATTTTTCTGATTTGATTCCTGAATGGGAATCAAACTGTGACCTCCTGGTTCATAAGTAGACACTCAACAACAACTGAGCAAAATTGTTCCTTTAATCCCAAAAATATGTCCAGCAGCTTTAGGTCATTTTATTGCCTTCTTTCTTATGTAATATATTGCCCACTGATTGATCTCACTGTAGATTTTATTTTTCAGATGAGGGATGTTCAGAATTAATTTCTTCTCTTATTTTTCTTTTACTTTAAGAAATTATGTTTTATTTATTTTTTAGAGAGAGGAAAGGAGAGGGAGAGATAGAAATATCAATTAGCTGCCTTCTGCATGCCCCCTACTGGGGATCAAGCCGGAAACCTATGTATGTGACCTGACTGGGAATCTAACCAGTGACCACTTTGTGCTTGGAATGATAGTCAACCAATTGAGCCACACCACTGGCTCTCTTTTTTTTTTTTTTTTAATAATTGTCAGGATATTTATTCAACTTTCATCATTCAATCCTAATACCGTTTTTTATTATAGCTATATTTTAATTTCTAAGATCTCTTTCTCTCTGGGGTTATTAATTTAGATTTCTTGGAAGTTGTGTTCTGTTTCTTGAATTGTCTGTTTCCTCTGTTTCTTTTCTGTTTATTTTGATCTTTGTCTTTCAGTGGGAGGTTTTCCTCTAATGTTGGGTCATTCTTGGATGTTTACTTTTACTTTTATTTAGATGAGGCACTAAAAATGAGACACTAATAAACCCTTATGTTGACAGACAGTTTGATTCAAAAGCTCTGTATGCAAGAGTGGGAATAAAAATCCACCAGCCTTGCCCTCACAGTGTAGTTCAATTGGTTGAGCATTGTCCCGAAAGGTTTGATTCCCAGTCAGGGCACATGCACAGGTTATGGGTTCAATCCCCGGTCAGGGCATGTGCAGGAGGCAACCAATAGACGTTTGTCACATCGATGTCTGTCTCTCTCTCTTTCTCTCTCTCTGTCTCTCTCTGTCTCTCTCTCTCTCTCTCTCTTTCTTCTTTCCCCTAACCTCCCCCCTCCCTCCCTCCAACCTTTCTTCCATCCTTCTCCTTTCCTCTCTCTCTAAAACCAATAAAAACATATTTAAAAAAAAATAAAAGCTCACCAGCCTCAGGTGATTATGTAGAATTAGAGACCCTCAACTGTTTTGCTAATATTTTGTTTTCTCTAGAGAAGTATCTGCTAATCTTTTGCTTCACAGTTGCTGTGGTTGAGCAGAACAAGGAAGGGAAACTTGATGTCCCAATTTAGTCTGCAAATTTCTACCTAAAACTTCAGTCTTCAATTTCAAGTCTCTCCAGTTCAGTTCTACAAAGAATAATTCTAAGGTTCTCTGTTGGGATAGACTAGAAGCCTATCTTCTGACTCCTTAGAGTGGGGGTTGGGTAGGCATAGTTCTAACTACAACATCTATCCATGTTGGTCCCTTGCCCAACCACTGCTTTCTATTCTTCCTGTGCCTTTGGTTGCTTTGTTTCTTCTCAGGTTGCAAAGAATAAATTTGTTTTTAGTGTGTCTCTTCAGGCTCTTATGTTTGACCATTTTACTTAATTCTTAGTAATTTGTCATCCTTCCATCTACTTCTAGTCTTTATAAATGTACTAGAGGCCCAGTGCACAAATTCGTACACTGGTGGGGTCCAGCTGGCTCTTCTCCTGATCAGGGTAGGAGGGCCAATCTGGGCCGTGGCCAGCTGGGGAGAGAGGCCTGGAGAAGACTCACTGAGCTGGAGCTGAGCATGGGCCCCAGGCTTTCCATGGAGGATAGTCTCAGCAAGGAAACAGAAACCAGGAGCAGGCTCTGCAAACACCCTGAGCTCCCTTTGGCCAAGCTGACTCAGAGCTGGCATCTTTGTGTGTACATTAGACACAGCCTGGCACTCACCTTTATCTGTTACTCAAATTCATTGCATTGAAAAACTTGTTCCCCTTCTTCTCTTTCTGGCCTTACAACAATACAGATCAATTGGAAGACACAGGCCCCAGTGGCAGAGCCAGTTCCCACAATCACCCTGAATTTAGGCCTAAGACAATCTGGTAGCAATCTCCATGGAACAGAACACACTGTTTTAGAGTTTTAATTCTCCCCTAAAATCTACCCAGCTGCTCCTCTTTAGGTGGGATAGACTGAACTAAGGAACCAAAGATCTACTTTCCTTTGAGGTGAGATCCACTGGGATCTGGCTGGCAGCAAGGCTTCTCACAGGCGGCTGCCTTTCCCCTAAGCTCGATGTACTCTGAGCTGGTCCATTTCTGGCAGTCCTGGGTCCTGGGCTGCTGGTCCAGTGGTAGATCCACAGGGTTTCTCTCTGCTGCCTTCCTGGCATCCTGAGTAGTACCCTCTAACCCAGGGCACCAGGTTGCTGTCACTAGAGCCAGGACTCAGCAAAGAAGCTGGCCCACACCAAGAGGCACCTACAGGTGACCAGGCTGTGCCCCCTACCCCACTTCTCAGTCTCACTTGTGTGGATTGGGCCAAAGCCTGCTGCCTGAGACTAGCTTCATGTGGGGAGGGTCGAGGCAGGGAGAGGGGAACCCTGATCATCTCAGAGCCCAGCTGATTGAATTCGTCCCACAAAGCCTTCATCTCAAGCTGCATGCTCATACTGGCCACCTTCACGTTCTTTACTAGCACCTTGGTGGTGGCAGCGCAACTGGCCCTGGGGCCCTCGAACTCCACAACGGCACTGGTGGCAGCAACCAGTCATTCCACCATAATATTTGCTAGACTTTTATTATATAGACTAGCGGCCCAGAGGATGAAATTTGTGCATTGGGAGCGGGGGATGTCCCTCAGCCCAGCCTGCACCCCCTCCAATCTGGGACTCCTTGAGGGATGTCTTAACTGCTCTCCTGCCAGCCTGTTTGCCCCTACCTACCATCCCCTGCAGGCCTGGTCACCCCTAACTGCCCTCTCCTGCAGGCCTGGTCCCTCCCCCCAGCTACTCTCCCTTGTAGGCCTGGGTTCCCCCCCAACTGCCCTTTCTTGTAGGCCCGATCACCCAAAACTTCCCTCTGCTGGCCTAGTCACCCACAAGTGCCCTCTCTTGCAGGCCTGGTCCCTCCCTCTCAATTGCCCTCCCCTGCTAGCCATCTTGTGATGGTCATCTTGTGTTCACATGGGGGCAGCCATCTTATGTGTTGGGGTGATGGTCAATTTGCATATTACTCTTATTAGGGTACAGACCTGGTGCATGGGTGGGGGCCAGCTGGTTTGCCTTGAAGGGTGTCCCGGATCAAGGCGGGGGTTCCCTTGGGATGCAGGGCAGCCTGGGTGAGGGGCCTGTGGGGGTTTGCAGGCTGACCACACCCTCTAGCGACCCAAGTGGAATCCCTGGTATCTGGGATTAATTTATCTTCTATAATTGAAATTTTGTAGCCTTGAACAGAGGCCAAGGCAGGTCAGGGCTGTGGAAGCTTGGCTTCATCCATTACCAGCTGCAACTCAAGCCTCCTGCTCTCTCCAGCTCCGTGTCTGCTGCCATTTTTTTTTTTTTTTAAGTTTTTCTTTTTCTTTTTCTTTTTTTTTTAAATATATTTTATTGATTTTTCACAGAGAGGAAAGGAGAGAGATAGAGAGCTAGAACGTCGATGAGAGAGGAACATCAACCAGCTGCCTCTTGCACACCCCCTCCTGGGAATGTGCCCGCAACCAAGGTACATGCCCTTGACCGGAATCGAACCCGGGACCTTTCAGTCCGCAGACCGACACTCTACCACTGAGCCAAACCGGTTTTGGCCTCTGCTGCCATTTTTGTTGGGATTTATTTATCTTCTATAATTGAAACTTTGTAGCCTTGAGTGGAGTCCATGGCCAACTAGGGTGTGCGGGAGGCTTGGCTTTCTTCATTGCCAGGGAAATCCAAACCTCCTGCTCACTCAGTGGCTGCAGCCACCTTGGTTGGGGTTAATTTGCATACTAATTCCTGATTGGCTGGTGCACTTGTGGATGTAGTGGAGGTACAGTCAATTTTGCATATTACTCTTATTAGATAAGACTAGAGGCTTGATGCATGAAATTTGTGCAAAGGGCTTGGCTCTCACAGCCTTGGTACTTGCAGCCCCTCGCAGCCTCGGCCCTTGCAACACCTCACTGCCTTGGCTGGCCCTTGCAGCCCTGGCTTTGTCTGGAAGGTCATCTGGATGGTTGTCCAGAATGTCATTTGGACAGTCGTTCCTCTGTTGGGTCTAATTATCATATTAGCTCTATTATGTAGGATGATTTGCAGTTCGAGATGACTCCTAGTTTTCTATAGAATAGTTTCTGTTTCTTATTCTCTTTGTTGATTTGGAATGATATTTGAAAGGATGGCAATAAATAGCCTGTTTAATACTAAAAACTGATGTTGAATCTTAAATTCAGTGATGAAACATGAATTTGTCTTAGTAAAATAACTCTTTCTCTGAACTCTTTAAAGTCTTAACCATGATATTATAATACCTTTTACTTTCTCATTTTTATTAATAAGCCCTTATGTTGACAAAAGACTGGTAATAAAACCTATTAAAATTTTTCTAATGCTTTCCTTTTAATGGGATATGGACTATTTTGTTATTTGCTCAATTTTCAAAGCAGGTTGTGATCTATGTCTCATTTAAATATGTCTATCATAGAGCAGGATTATATAAGAAAACTCTTTATCAGTTTGAGAATTTAAATTTTTATCTTTGATAATCTAGTATAATATAATGTGTACAAGTGATTTTATTTTATTTCTATAGTCTTCTTTATAGAGTGACAAAGACTGAAATTGTTAGAAATATTAAACTGTGGTCTTTCTCTTTTCCAAGGTTCTTTTAGAGCAAGATATATTCCATCGTTCTTTGATGGCCTGTTGTTTGGAAATTGTGCTCTTTGCTTATAGCTCACCTCGTACTTTTCCCTGGATTATTGAAGTTCTCAATTTGCGGCCATTTTATTTTTATAAGGTGAGATGAATACCTCATATATGGTGCACCTCACATAGAATTCTATTTATCTTATGCTGAGGAAACACACTGTACTGATGTTTGGAAAATATTCTCAGAGGTATTCTGAAAACATATATTCCTTGTGGGTGGAATCAAGGTCAAAGGGGAGAGAATGAAGGGTAAATGTAAATTAAGCCAATCTCACAGGTTTGGTTTTGTTTCTGTCACTGATTGGCAAATACAACCAGAAACTAAGTAGTTAACTTTGAATTTTCCATATTTATGAATAAAAAATCATAATCCTGGGATTCCTCTCAAGATGGTAGGGTAGTTAAATGCAGTACTTACTCCCTTTTTCCCACAACCACAGGAAAATGACAACTGAAGTACAGAACAACCATTATTCAGAATTACCTGAAATCTGAACAGAAGTCCTATAATTAAGGATTTAAAAAAAAAAAAAAGCTCCATCAAGACTGGTAGGAGAGGCAGAGATGCAGCAGAGGCTGGTCCCTCACTCATAGTGGCAGTTAAAATTCAGGAGGGATACCTCTGCTGCAGAGGTTCCCCATGAGGAGCAAAGGGCTCCAGCCCCACACCAGGTACCCTAGCCTAGAGTTCTAATGCTGGGAAGAGAAGTCTCCATAACTTTGGCTGTGAAAACCAGTCTGGATTCTGACTGAGTGAGATGGAGTCCCAGGCAGCTCCTCTTAAATGGCCTATGTATGGACTCATTTGGACTCATCTCTCTGGATTCCATTGCTGGGGCAGCAGTTCAAAAAGCCTCAGGGACATATGGGAAAGAACTAAATTGTCTGGCTTTGGGATGATGGTTAGAAGGACAGCTTTCTTTCAAACAGAAGTCAAGAGACCATTTTTTCCTTTGCTGAGCACTCACCCCATAGAGCCAGCAGATAGGCTCCATATCTGCCTCTTCATCATCCTAGCTAATACTGTTCACCCACTCTGTTGATTCCCTGAGACTTCACCCATACAACTTGCAGACACACCAAAGCCATTTCCAGTGGCTTTTCCATACAAATAGCCTATTTGGTTCATGGTGCAGACTCTCCTAAAATTTCTCAAAGATTCACAAACCCCAAACAAGCATAGGTCTGTCCTTGGCCTGCTCTGAACCTCTTGTTAAGTGGCCCTAGACTAAGCACTCGCAGCACCAGCTGGCCTTGGTTCATAAGTTGGTTTCTCCCCAGCACCTTGAAGCTCAACAAGTAGCAGCTATCTGCAGATCGCTCTGTTAGCTCATGCCAGGTGATCCCAGGCAAGGCACAGCAAGCAGCTGATCTTCGCATGCACCTCCTAGAAGACTTCAGGGACAGTGCAACCAATAGATAGCTTCAGACCAGGCCAGAGCACCACCCAACCATTCCATGAGTGACACACTTAAGGAGTGGTCTCAATGGGCATCAGAGTCTTGCTGAAATGAGTTTTGCTCCATAGGTTTGGCCCCTGCACAGCAACTCCTGCATTATAGTCATGGCCATTCTTGCAGCCATTTGGCCTTGAGGTAAATCCCTCCCTTTAACATGCCAATAGCAGTCAGGCTCAATTACAACAGGAGGGTGCTTACAGCCCATAGGGAGGGGTAAACCTAGAGCCGCAGCTTGGGTAACCAGGGAGACTGTGCCATTGGACCCTATAGGACACATACTACATAAGTCCACTCTGGGAGGCATAGCAGCTCTACCCAATCATAGAAGCAAACACAGGCAGCCAAAATGAGGAGACAGACATGTCCCAAAACTCCAGAAAAAGAACTAAACAAAATGGAGATAAACAATCTACCAGATTCAGAGTTAGAACCACTGGTTATAAGAATGCTCAGTGAGCCCTAACCAGTTTGGCTTAGTGGATAGCCTATCCGATAGAGCATCGGCCTGCAGACCAATGGGTCCCAGGTTCTATTCTGGTCAAGGGCCCATGTCCAGGTTGTGGGCTCAATTCCCAGTAGTAGGCAGCCAATCAATGATTCTCTCTCATCATTGATATTTCTGTCTCTCCCCTCTGAAATCAATAAAAATAAAAAATATTTTTCAAAAAAGAATGCTCAATGAATTTAGGGGAAGAGTAGATGAACTTAGAACTTCAACAAATAGATAGGAAACATAAAAATGGAGAAAGGAAACAAAAAAGAACCAGTCAGAAAAGAATATAATTGCTGAAACGAAAACTACAGTATATGGAATCAACAGGAGGGTAAATGAAGCAGGGAATCAAATTAGTGATTTGGAAGATAAGGAAGCACAATACATCCGATCAAAATAGCAAAAAGAAAAAAATCCAAAAAAAATTAGGATAGTTTTAAGGAGCCTCTGGGGCTTCAAATGTACCAACAATTCACCTCCTGGGCAAGCCAAAAAGAGAAGAGAAAGATTAGGAATTGAAAGCCTATTTGAAAAAAATGATTCCCTAACCTGGAAAAGGAAATAGACATTTAGTTCAGAAAGCACATTGGCCCAAACAAGATGAACCCAAAGAGGCCCACAGCAGGACATCATAATTAAAATACCAAAGATAGCCGAGACGGTTTGGCTCAATGGATAGAGCGTTGGCTTGGGGACTGAAGGGACCAGGGTTCGATTCCGGTCAAGGGCATGTACCTTGGTTGCGAGCATATCCCCAGTAGGGGGTGTGCAAGAGGCAGCTGATCAATGACTCTCTCATCGATGTTTCTAACTATCCCTCTCCCTTCCTCTCTGTACAAAATCAATAAAATATATTAAATAAATAAATAAAAATACCAAAGATAAAAGATAAAAAGAATCTTAAAAGCAGTTATCCACAAGGGAGAACCCATAGACTGTCAACTGATTTCTAAATAGAAACTTTGCAGGCCCAGAGAGATTGTCACAAAATATTCAGTCATTGAAATGCAAGGATCTACATGCTTGCATAGTGGTTGTGTATCAACCCATGAACCATGAGGTCACACAGGATCACTTCCAGGTAAGGACATATGTCCTGGTTGCAGGTTCGATCCCTATTGGGGGGCTAGCAGGAAGCAGCCAATTGATATGTCTCTCATCAATATTATTAACTATCCCTTTCTGTTCCTTTCTCTTTAAAAAAAAATTTTTTTTTTAAAGAAAAGAAAAAGCAAGGACCTACAACTGAAATTATCCAACAAAGTTATCATTCAGAATGGAAGGGCAGATTAGGAAATTCTCCAACAAGAAAAAGCTAGAGGAGTTCACCACCAAACCAGTATTACAATAATGTTAAAGGATCTTCTTTAAGAAGAAAAAATTCAATGGGAGGGGGGCAATGGTATAATATGTACACAGATAATAATTAAAAAAAAGAAAAAATTCAAAAATATGAATAATAGAATGGCAATAAATACATATCAACAATATCACAATTACTTTAATGCAAGTAGATTAAATCCTTCAAAAAATATGGAGACTGGATAATAAAACAAGATCATTTCAGATGCTATCTAAAAATGCAAATATTAAAATTCTAATGATAATCAGTATTAATACTTTTGTGTATATACTTTCATTGTCCTAGGCATTTACTCTTTTTGTTTGTTCCTTTGTTTTCTTAATATCACCTGAGGATATTTTTTAAAGAGTGCGGGGAAGAAGGAAGGGGTGGGAAGGGGAGAGAGAAACATATTAATTAGTTGCATGTGCCCGAACCAGGACCAGGGATTGAACCTGGAACCCAGGTATGTGCCCTTGACCGGGAATCCAACCCTCCACCCTTTGGTGTTCAAGCCGAAGCTCTAACAACTGTGCAACACCAGCTGCTTTAATTTTGTTTTTCCCATCACCATTTATGCCCTCTTCCACCCACCCTCCTTTCACGCTGCTGTTCATGTTCATGAGTTCTCTTCTTTTTCTTCTTTGCTTAATCCCTCTTATTAAAATGTAATTATAGTATATAAAAACAAAGTTATTTCCAAATATAATATTATTCATTTTCTCCTTTTGAGCTATTAGGAAGAATAGTATGAATTCAAAACAGCAATAAATTCGAAATAGCAATGGGCTGGGAACCCAAAGCCTGACTTCTATCATTATTGGGCTGTTAACAAGTTTTCAGCTATCATTATCTTAATTTTTTGTGTATAAAGAACATGAAAAACAAATATATATGAAAGTATTTTGAAGATCTTAAAAACTCTTTCAGCTCTGAATGGTATGGCTTAGTTGGTTGTATGTTGTCCCATGCACTGAGATGTCCCCAGGTCAATTCCTGGTCAGGGCACATGCCCAGGCTCCATTCCCAATAGGGGACTTGCATGAGGCAGCTAATCAATGTTTCTCTCTCATAGATTTTCTCTCTCTCCCTCTCCCTCTCTAAAATCATAAAATTGATAAAAACGTTAACCAAAGAAATTACATGCATAACCCAAGGACACAGGCAGTAGTGTGGTGAAGGCTTGGGGTGGGAGAAGGGGCAGGCTAGAAGGGATCAATGGGCAATAAAGGGTTCATCTGTATAAACTTTCAATAGTAATGATAAATTTTAAAGAAACTACTTCAAGGATATCCTTGATTTTGTGTCATTAATAACACAGAGCTATTCATACATGCAAGCCCACCCAGTCTAGAACTGATTGCTTGAGAGTACATTATCTGCTCAATTTTCTTGTCACCAGGTTATTGAGGTGGTGATCCGCTCAGAGGAGGGACTTTCCAGGGACATGGTGAAACACCTGAACAGCATTGAAGAACAGATTTTGGAGAGTTTAGCATGGAATCACGATTCTGCACTGTGGGAGGCTCTCCAGGCTTCTGCAAACAAAGTTCCTACTTGTGAAGAAGTGAGTCAGGGAAATGCAATAATCCTGTCATTTTATAAAATAACTAGAAGCCCAATGCATGATATTTGTATTCTGCCTCTCACCTCCCAGTATATGCCCTCACCTTTCTGCTGATTTTGTCCACAGGTTAATTCTTATATGCATGCATACAAGTCCTTTGGTTGATCTCTCCTGCCTTCCTCCCCTGAGGTTTGATGGTCTTTTCCCTAATCCCAACTTACTGAAAGAACTGTCCAAAACTTAAAAGAAAACGGTTTCTTGAGATCTCTCTTCCACATATCTTTTGTCTTTTGCAGCACTGTGGTTAATGGGGCAATCTTTAGTATTCATCAATATTTCCATTATAGAACCCATAGGGAAAGTAAAAAAAAAGTTATGAATTTGAAAGAAATGGATTTTAGTTAATGCTCTTGCTCTATTACTTTGTAGCAATGTGTCCTTGAGCAATCAAATTTGTGCCTCATTTTTCTCATCTCTAAGTGGAGAGTGATAGTGCCTACCTCATAGGTTTACTTCTAATTGTTGATAAACTTACATAGATAGATGATAAGATTAAGTGTAATTAATTCTACACACAATTTCACAATATTAACTATTGAGCAATTTTGTGAAGAAAAAAGGAAAGAGAAATTACATAGTTAAATAAGAAGTTAAGATTTTTCTCATTTTTTCTGTTATAAGTTTTCATCCGTAGTTTCATCTGTATGTAAAGCAAAGGGCTTTTGTTTTCAACAGGTTATATTTCCAAATAACTTTGAAACAGGAAATGGGGGAAATATACAGGGTCATCTTCCCATGATGCCAATGTCTCCTCTAATGCATCCAAGGGTCAAAGAAGTTCGGACAGACAGTGGAAGTCTTCGAAGGGGTATGTTCAACATTAGTAAAACAATGAAAAATAACAATTTTTTTCAGAGAAAATGTCAAGTCTTATTAATATATTTTTTATTTCTTCATTAGGATTTGAAAGAGGGATCAATGCTTACGTCAACTCGTACTGTGGCTCATTTTATACTTTTTTAAGTTAAAGTAAAAGATTACCAATCTGATTTTAAATATAATTATTTTTCGTAATTTCAGTATCAATTCTTGTGAAAATATATCTTGGTCTTTTAATAAACACACACACCTTGTCTAAATGATGGTGGAAAACGATTTCTTAATAAGCTAAATACCTAATTTTTAAATGTGACAAATTACTTTCTCTGTCTATGTATGTCTCTATAGAAAGATAAGTATTTAAAGTAGAGCAGATTACTCACTGGGATGCTAAAGTTTTATCTAATGACTGATTTATTTATACTACGTTCTTAAAATAGTTCCTTTGAATCTTACTAATAGGAAGATTTTAGTGCAGCTTTCCTTATTTTCTCTTGTGATATAGCATACTGATGTGTACATTTTCTGGATTACGTAGCTCTTGCTTTATTTTTTCTTAAATCAGTTAAGAAAATCTTTTGACTACAGAATGTCTCTGAACCAACCTCAGATGAACGAAATATTCAGTGTGCATAGTAAAATAGCTCAAGATTCATTTTTGAACTATAGTTTTTTATGTGTGTGTGGGTACATGCATGCATGTGTAAGCTATAGATGTAGTACAAGATTATAAAAATGTGCAAGCTGTGCATATAAAATAATATTCGTAAACAAGAGGAATAACTAGGATTGTTTTATAATCTTTAAAAATTTTGTCAAAACTTTAAAAATTCTCTATCAATTATTTGATTAGAGAAATGAATAAGAAGTAAAAATATTTACTTAGTACAATATAATTAAAAACATTGAGAATAAGTGTTTTGTCTTTTTTTAAAACACAGAAAATAATTAAAACAGTATTTGCTCCCTTCTCAGACTGAGGGAAGCATCTATTTTGTGTCTTTTAAACTCATATTGGATCAGTTTTCAACATTTTATTTATTTTTAGAATTTTTATAAGAGTTTATTTGAGCTGGAACCGAAGGGAGTAACAAGAAGGAAGGTATAAAATGCTCCCAACTTTCAACATTTTATTCTTTGTGTTTTCAATGCTGTGAAATATCTGAGTTTCTCTGATGTTAAATTTTTGCCATCATTACTTCCTATTGGATATTATCTTTTTTGTCACAAAAACTTTTCTTTTATATCCATAAGTTTCATCTTTACAAAGTACTTCTAGCTACATATGTAAATCTCTTGAACAGTGATAGTGTCAATAATATTCCCAGAGTCAGCTTTTCTTCTACAATTTCTATTTTAATTTCACGTTTAGCACTATCACTTTTTATTTCTTTGTTGTACTTATATCTTTTTTCTAATGATTCCCTCTTTCATTTGTCTGTTTATAAAATGTTGTGTGGGTTTACCACTGGGAGATAAGGGAAGCATAACTTGGCATATGTTTTGTTGTCTACATGAATTGGATAACACAGTGGTCGGCAAACTGCGGCTCTTTGGCCCCTTGAGTGTGGCTCTTCCACAAAATACCAGGGCCTTGGCGAGTCTATTTTGAAGAAGTAACATTAGAAGTTTAAGTTTAAAAAATTTGGTTCTCAAAAAGAAATTTCAATCATACTGTTGATATTTGGCGCTGTTGAATAATGAGTTTGCCGACCACTGGGATAATAGATGTGATCATGATGCACAGCTATTATTTATATAATGGTTTATGGACTGAAGTTTTTAGTTTATACAGTTACCCACAGTTACTATATCTTGTCAACTGAAATTTGAAATTTGAACTGTTTTGCTAGGGCTGTTGTTAAACTGCATATTGGAACGATACAAAGCATGAAGTATGTGTGTGTCTGTCTACAAATGTATCTCTGACTATAATTTATATGTATACTAGAGGCCCAGCATGTGAAATAATGCGGCCCCATCCCCGTCCCCCGCCTCCTGCACTCGCCTCACCACACCCACCCTTCAACAGCCTTGCTGCAATCAGAGCCTGTGGGCCTCGGGGGAGGGACCAGAGTGCTCTAAGCACTTCATGGTGACCAGTCATGACACCTCTGGCATTTTTTTTCCATTTTTTTTTATTAAGATATTATAAGTATATATATCTTATTATTGCCCCCACTCCCATTCATGCCCTCAAACCCCAGTGTTTTGTGTCAATTGGTTATGCTTATATGCATGCAAACAACCTCTGGCATTTTATTATTATGACTAGGGACCTGTTGCAGGAATATTCCTGTAAGGCTTCCGGTGGACTTCCCTCCTGCCAAAACACATTTCCCGCTTCCCCACATCTCCTGCTGCAACAGACCACTGCAGCCACCGGCTCCATGGCCACACACGCTGCTACCACCGCTGCACACCTTGCCCCGCACACCACGCTCACCCTGCCCCTCGCGCACTGCCAGTACTTTCCCTCCAGCAGCTGCAGCCACCTTGCTTTCCACCTTCCCTCCCTCTTCCTTCTATGCTGTCTTCAATTGAATGCAAATTAACTGCCATCTGGGTTGGATTAATTTGCATACTTGCTCTGATTGACTGGTGGTCATGACTGTTGGGTGTAGCGAAGGTGTGGTTCCAGCATTGCCTTAAAGTTCCAGCATTGCTAGAAGTCTGGGAGTATGGAAGGTGAAGTCAAAACTGTGAACCAAATAACTGATTTTTCCTTCTTAAGTGTTATTTATTAGATGAGATTGGGAGACAGAATCTTATTGGACTACTACTTAAATTTAGAGGTCACCTCATTCTACCTCTCAGCTTCTATCTATACTTTACCCTTAACATTTTGCTCCTTTAATATAGGCAGTGTTCAAGAAACCAGAGGGTGAACTATCATTTTCACATTTTATTGTAAGAATTTATTTCAGGCCTCTTTCTCACTTTTGACTTGATATGAGGACAGATATCAAGATATATCTATATTACAGCATGTTCCACCACTTCATCTTTATGACTGCATAATGAACCTGGTTCATTATTTTAGAATACATATCAATCTGTTATAAATTTATTTTTCTCTTTATTAGATATGCAACCATTGTCTCCAATTTCTGTCCATGAACGCTACAGTTCTCCTGCCGCAGGGAGTGCTAAGAGAAGACTTTTTGGGGATGAACCCCCAAAGGAAATGCTTATGGACAGGATCATAACAGAAGGAAAAAAATTGAAAATTGCTCCTTCTTCAAGCATTACTGCTGAAAATATATCAATTTCACCTGGGCAAAGTCTTTTAACCATGGCCACAGCCATCATAACGGGGACAACAGGACATAAAGTTACAATCCCATTGCATGGTAACATTTAAGTGAATTTATTTTCTATGCTTATTCACATACCGGTAAATGGGTAGATATAATGACAGTTTTTCTGGGACATGTGCAGCTTTTGCTAAAAAAGAACTCTTGCTTGTATTGCACACTTAGGTATTGCAAATGATGCTGGAGAGATCACACTGATACCAATTTCCATGAACACAACTCAGGAGTCCAAAGTTGAGAGTCCTGTATCACTTACTGCTCAGTCATTAATTGGTACTTCTCCAAAACAAACCCATCTGACTAAAGCACAAGAGGTACATCCAACTGGAATAAGCAGACCAAAGAGAACTGGGTCCTTGGCACTGTTTTATAGAAAGGTATGTGTTTTTATAGCATCTAAAAAGATCTTGTTTAGCCCAATCGGCACGGCTCTGTGGTTGAGCATTGACCTATGAACCTGGAGGTCACGGTTCCATTCCCAGTTAGGGCATATGCCTGGATTGCAAACTCGATCCCTGGTATGGAGCATGTTGGAGGCAGCCAATCAGTGATTCTCTCTCATCATTGATGTTTCTCTCTCTCCCGCTCCCTTCCTCTGAAATCAATTTAAAAAAAGAAAATTTTTTTTTTTTTTTAAATAAAAATAGCCCTAGCCGGTTTGGCTCAGTGAATAGGGCATCAGTCTGTGGACTAAAAGGTCCCAGGTTCTATTCTGGTTAAGGACACATGTCCTGGTTGTGGGCTTGATCTCCAGTAGTGGGTATGAATGAGGCGGCTGATCAAGGATTCTCTCTTATCATTGATATTTCTATCTCTCCCTTTCCCTTTCTCTCTGAAATCAATAAAATATATTTAAAAAATAAATAAAAAAGATCTTTTTTAATCAATGCAAGAAAGATTGAATATAACACAGCAGATTTAGCTTTCCTTTTTGTGTGTGTGGTAAAATATATATATATTTATATAACATAAAATTTATTATTTTAACTATTTTTAAGTGTCATTAAGAGTACATTTACATTGTTGTGCCACTTTCACCACCATCCATCTCCAGAACATTTTTATCTTCCTGAACTGAAATTCTGTATCTATTAAATAGTAATTCCTGTTCCTCTTTCTCTCCCTGCCCACCCACCAGACCCTGATAACCACCATTCTTCTTTCTGTCTTTGTGAATTTGAGTAAATCATATAAGTGGATTCATAAAATATGTCCTTTTGTGACAGGCTCATTTCACTTAGCATAATGTCTTTAAAGTTCATTCATGTTGTACATGTGTCAGAATTCCCTGCCTTTTTAAGACTAAATAATATTCATATATATATGTGTGTGTGTGTGTGTGTGTATGGTATACTATTTTATTTATTCATTCATATATGATTGACATTTGGGTTGTTTCTACCTTTTTTTTAAAAAAAAATAGAATTGTTTCTAATTTTTATTACATTTTTCTTTCATGCCAGTCTTACTGTTTTCTTTTTCTTTTTTTTACAGAGAGGAAGGGACAGGGATAGAGAGTTAGAAACATCAATGAGAGGGAAACATTGATCAACTGCCTTCTGCACACCCCCTACTGGGAATGTGCCCTCAACCAAGGTCCATACTGTTGATCAGAATTGAACCTGGGACCTTTCAATCCACAGGCCGACGCTCTATCCACTGAGCCAAACTGGTTAGGGCAGTTTGCCAGTATTTTGTTAAGGATTTTCACATTACCATTTAAAGAGATATTGGTCTGTAGTTTTCTTTTCTTATAATGTCTGTGTGTAACATTGGTATCAGGTAATGTACCTTTAGTCTTTTTAAAAAACATATTTGAGCCCTAGCCAATTTGGCTTAGTGGATAGAGTGTCAACCTGCAGACCAAAGGATCCTGGGTGTGATTCCAGAAAAGAGTACATACCTTGGTTGCAGGCTCCTCCCCAGCCTGGGCCCTCGTCAGGGCACATGCAGGAGTTTTCTGATATAACTTAATGTTTCTGTCAGCTTGTGTTCTTAGGTAACTTTTTATATAACACTAGAGGCCTGGTGCATGAAATTCGTACACAGGGAGTATGTGTGTCTCTCAGCCCAGCCTGCACCCTCTCCAATCTGGGACCCCTCAAGGGACATCCCTCTCACAATCCAGAACTGCTGGCTCCAAACCACTTGCCTGCCTGCCTGATTTCCCCTAACCACTTCTGCCTGCCAGCCTGATCACTCCCTAACCACTCCCCTGCCAGCCTGATTGACACCTAACTGCCTTCCCCTGCTGGCCTGGTTACCCCTAACTGCTCTCCCCTGCTGGCCTGGTGGCCTCCAACTACCCTCTTCTGCCAGCCAGGTCATCCCTAACTGCCCTCCCTTTCCAGCCTGGTTGCCCCCAACTACCCTCCTCTGCTAGATTGGTCACCCCGTACTGCCCTCCCCTGCTGTCCTGGTTCCCCCCAGCTTCCCTCCCCTGCTGGTTTGGTCCCCCCTAACTTTCCTCCCCTGCAGGCCATCTTGTGACGGCCATCTTGTATCCACATGGGGGTAATCATCTTGTGTGTTGGAGTGATGGTCAATTTGCATATTACCTCTTTATTATATAGGATAAGCAGTTGATCATCTTCTGGAATTTACTTTAATTCCAATGTGTTAATGTTGTTTTAGATGGGAGTTTATTGTGGGTAAGTGATGCTTTACTCTTTTTCACGAACATTTAAATTTAAAAAATTAATTCAAACGGAATAGTCTGGTTTAGGAATACCACAGCAGGGTTACCAATTCTTAAAACAATAAAACATAATGTTTCTAAGATTAGAAACCATTTTAGAATCTTGCAAGATCTTCTGGTCATTTGCATTAGTGTCAATTCATATAATGACTTTGTGTGTGTGTGTGTGTGTGTGTGTGTGTGTGTATACAACTTGTGTTCTTATATAACTTTTTATATAACACTAGAGGCCTCAGCCCAGCTTGCACCCTCCAATCTGGGACCCCTCGAGGGACATCTCTCTCACAATCCAGGACTGGTTTGTGAGATTTTCACATTACCATATATATGGTTCAGAGCATTGCACTGAATTTACTCTGACATACTTAAAAATAACAAAAAGGAAAAAGTTTTCTCATTAACTTTCTCATTGTTTCATAAAAACAATGTAGATTATATGGGAAATTCTTTAAATGGTTTTGCTTTCTGACTCATTTTTCTTTTAAGTCAAACAATGAATTTAGTTCTTTACTTTCTGACATTTTATGTTTTCTACCTGAACCAAAAAACAAAAATAGAGACTTCTGAACACTTGAAAAATTATGTATTCATAATGCGTGTAATGCAGGTAAATTCTGCATTATAGTGTTTCTTACTTTATAGATGGCAGCATAGAGCAGTAGAAGACATCTTTTCAAAAATAATTGTCAGGGTGCCCTGGTTGATGAGGCTGTTAGTTGGGCATTGCCCAGTGCAACAAAAGGATGCCAGTTCAGTTGCTGCTCAGGGCACATTCCCTGGTTATGGGCTTAATTCCTGGTGGGGGCATGCAAGAGGCAGCTGGTAGATGTTTTATCCTAACATTGATGTTTTTCTCTCCCTCTTCCTCTCCCTCTTTCTCCTCCCTATTTCCTTCTCCCTTCCTCTCTTTAAAAATCAGTAACAAATTTGAAAAATTGTTTAAATAAAAAATAAATTAGGGTGGTTGCCATCTTATGATGATAATAATAGTTTTAAAGGTAGTTTTTTAAAGAGATTTTGTTTTCATCTATATCCTTCTGCCATAGCAGTGAACTAGTACTATAGAACAGAAATTTTATATAATTTAAGGTATCAACTGCCTAGGCACTTATTAATCTTGACATGAAAGCCAATGTTCATGGTAAGGCATAAATTTAAGAAATGATTTTTACTTATTTTTTTTGTATCAATGTGCTACCGTCCATCTTAGGTCTATCATTTGGCAAGTGTACGCTTACGTGATTTATGTTTAAAACTGGATGTTTCAAATGAGTTACGAAGGAAGATATGGACGTGTTTTGAATTTACTTTAGTTCACTGCCCTGACCTAATGAAAGACAGACATTTGGATCAGCTCCTCCTTTGTGCCTTTTACATCATGGCAAAGGTAATGTATACTTTGGGGGGAGTTCTTGGCCCTAGTTGCATGAGGTGGAACTCTGTTGAACTTGATTCTTGGTTTACCTTAAGTGCTATAAGCTATTAGTGCCATCATCATTGATTAAGTAGTAAATTCCAGCTACTATATCTATTCTCTGGATTCTCCATTTAGTTTTATAATAATCAGCTTTCCTACTTTATAAGTATACATTGGCTGTAAAGAAGTTGAGAAAGGTCTTAGACACTATTTGTAGTATTATAAAATAGCTCTCCCCATTGTTAATGTGGCAACACTATTTTCATGCCCACCCCTGTAATACCTTTAATCTGCTACTTTAAGGTAATATGGTCTTTACATTGTAGATAAATAACTGAGACCCAGAGCTGAGCAAATTTACATAACAAATAGCAACCTAGGATCTCCTGATTGTAAAAATATCTTCTATAACATTCCTTTCCAGTGACTTTTTTTTTAAATAAATCTTTATTGTTCATATTATTACAAATGTTCCTCTTTCCCTCCCCCACCCCACCCCTCCATTGCTCTCCTCCACCAGGTTCCCACCCCACCCTCTGCTCCTTTCCAGTGACTTTCTATCCCACCTCTGAAGAACATTTCACTCTAGTTGCTACATCATGTTTTAGGTTATGAAATCACATATCTTGTTTTTTAAATTTCTGATGTATCTGAAAGAATCATCTGTAACTTTGGTCTTGACCATATTGGCCACACTGGCTATCCTAACAGACATACCAAATTAAGACCTCATTTTTAAGCTTTTTGAAGCAGAGGACATGTTTTTAAATTCCTTAGTGACACCTGTTTCACAATGCCTCACAAAATAGGTATTAATAAATGTTATAAACTAATCATTTGTGTTTTTCAGAGAACTATCAGAGTTCAGGCTTTGCCATTTCTAGCTCAACATTATGGAGAACAGGTTAAGTGCTACTGCACAGTAAAGCAGAGGAAAAGATCAATTTAAGTGAACTTTATTGATAACAAATAGACTAAAAGGTATTCCTTTATGGATCACTAATCCCTTTTCTTCCTTTTAACCACCACTGTGTCTTTTCAGTGTAAGCATTAGAAACTGTAGTCTGTCCTGACATTAAAATTCTAATCCTTAGGATTTTAATGATAACCACTCATTTTTATTGTGAATCACCATAAGACACTTTCTATCATTTAGTATGTAGTTAATTTACTTTTAAATACTTAAAAACTAATAAAACTGCAGAGTGTAAGGGATTCAACAGATCTGAGTTTTCTTATATTATTCTTTTTACAAAGAAAGGCTATTTTCAGTAAAGTTAAACCATAGCAGTCTTGGTGCTTTTGATTAATGAAACTATTAGCTGAGTTCCCACAGGCCACAAAGCCTGAACTTTAAAGGTAGTAAAAATCATATATTTTTAGTGGTAGTGGTAGTGGTTTTTAGTCATGGACTGGCCTGGGGTTAATGGCTTTCTGTAAGACTGCTCTCTGTCCCAGTCTATAATTGAAGTGTTTGTTCAGGGCCATTTTTCTTTTAGGAACAGTTGATAAATGCAGTTTTTCTTTTCTTTAGGTAACAAAAGAAGAAAGAACTTTTCAAGAAATAATGAAAAGTTATAGGAATCAGCCCCAAGCTAATAGTCATGTGAGTTACATTATTTTTCTTCTAGGACAAAAATAGACTTATACTATTTTTCTGATGAGAAGTCATATAAAACGTAAGCTTCTTTTACAGCATTTTAGATTTTTCGGTTTAATGGATATCATTAAATTCAAGAGACAGTTTTGTAGAAGCCAGGAAATTGACTGTTCCTGACTCATACATGTATTTGTATATACTTCTCACATGATCTCTTATTCCATTTGTTAATCTGTTAAGTGAGGGCATTTTTCACTAGAATATTTAGTGGGGGGGTGGGGGAAAATATATATATACACACACACACACACATATATATACTTTAATTGTATGAGATTTGAATCTCTGATGATGTTTAAATTCAATGAAATTTGAGGATTTTTTAAAATTCAGTTTCTTTTGCCATCTGCTAAGAATCTTAATGTTTATATCTTTGTTAATCTTAATGTTAAGCATCTCTGATAATGTTATAATAGCCATGGGTGAGAATCCTGTACAACTTTTCAGTCATCCTATTTAAAAAAGCCTATGTGTTGTGACGCCCCCAGCCATGACACCTTCACGCCATAACAAGCGATTAGCAGGAGGCTGTGTGTGCAGCGGGTGGGGGAGGGGGGCTTGGTGCTGTGTGCATGGCAGAGAGGCAGGTCCCGAGACTCCCGCCTACCTCTTTGGGGCAATCCATTGAGGAGCCCCAGGTGGGTGGGCGGTGCATACCTCTTTGGGGTGATCGATCCCTGGGGCTTCCGCACTGTGAGAGGGCACAGGCCAGTCTAGGGGACGCCCAGTGCTCGAATTTCATGCACCAGGCCTCTAGTGAAAATATAAAATGTTAGTGAAGTGGCCTGGCACATAGTGAGCATTAATGACTGTTAGATCCTTATTATTGTTGTTATTTTAGCTGAGAACACAGGGTTGGTTTACCTTAAAGCCATTCAAGAGCTTGGTTTCTCTGCTCTAAGGAAGCCTAATGGCCTCTTCTCTGGCCCCCATGATCTGCCATCTGAGAAAGAAAGGTGGAGGCTCAGATATCTCAGGTGGGAGTACTAGCAGTGACACCCCCATCTAGGAGAACCCCACCAGTAGTTTCACTTCTTAAGTCTCCAAAAGGGTGAGTGATTTACAGATATTAGAAGAGCCAAGTACAAGTGTTTGTTATATACTATGACAGGCTAAGCGTTTCTGAGCCTGTTGAGAAGAATCCCTCATGAACAGAGCCAAAAGAGGTCCAAATTGTCTTTAAAGATCATTAAGATTAACTTACTGTGTGTCAAAATGAACCAAGCCAGAGTTCTCTAATGTCTTCTAAATACTAGTCCCCATGGGACGAGGGGGAAATGAGTCATGCCTCTCAACTATCTTGGAGGTAGAAAAGAGTTTTGGGGCAGGAATATAACAAATTTTCATGTGTCCTTCTGAAAGGAGATGGGAATGGGATGGGAGCAGGAAAACAAGCCACAATGAGAGCAAATTGGTTCTCAGGTAAGGAGTTAAAAAGGAGGAGGAACAAGTTCAGATCTTTGAAGTTATTTTATTTGGCAAAACCTGCTCATCAGTGTTTAGTTGCTATTTATGTACCTAACTCTTCTATTTAAATTGTAAATTCCTACAAGGGCATATTTTAGATGTAGGCTCAGAATCTGCTTCAGTATTCTCTCTTCTTCTTCTTCTTCTTTTTTTTTTTTAAAATATGTTTTATTGATTTTTTACAGAGAGGAAGAGAGAGGGATAGAGAATTAGAAACATCGATGAGAGAGAATCATCGATCAGCTGCCTCTTGCACATCCCCTACTGGGGATGTGCCCACAACCGAAGTACATGCCCTTGACCAGTATTGAACCTGGGACCTTTCAGTCCACAAGCTGACGCTCTATCCACTGAGCCAAACCGGTTTCAGCCAGTATTTCCTCTTCTAAGATGTTTGTTATAACCTGATTTATCAGACTAGTAACATCTTGCTCTTGATGATCACCCATACAGACAAATACTTTTTAATTGGCTGGATATTTTGTTGTTCTTATTTTGGTTTGACTTAACCTGTGCCTTTTTGTGACTTAGCAAACCTTTTCTTCCCCTCTGACCTGTAGGTTTATAGAAGTGTACTGTTGAAAAGTATCCCTCGAGAAATTGTGGCTTATAATAAAAAAGTAAATGGTGATTTTGAAATGACTGATTGTGGTAAGTTGCTCAATTTAACATTCTACAATATATGTAATATATCTTTGATTACATTGTACATAATATAGTGAATGCCAGAGAGTATGGATTCAATTATAAAGGTGGGATAGATAATGCATATGTATTTTGGGAAGATATATAAGTAAGTTTGTGATAAGTATGAGTCAGGTGTCTTCTCCTTAGAAGTTGTGGAATGAAACCATTAATTTGTCCTGTATTCATTGTGTTTTAGAAGAAGTTTTCTAGTCTATATATATTAATTAAAGGCACTTAAATTTTTATTTATTTTTTAATGTATTTTTATTGATTTCAGAAAGGAAGGGAGAGAGAGATGGAAACATCAATGATGAGAATCATCGATTGACTGCCTCCTGCATGCCCCCTACAAGAGATCAAGCCCGCACCCAGGCAGGCATGTGCCCTCAACAAGAATCAAACCCAGGACCCTTCATTCTGCAGGCCAATACTCTGTCCACTGAACCAAACCAGCTAGGGCAAAGGCACTTAAATTTTTAAAATGCAATGGTCCTCCCTTATCCATTGATTTTCTTGATTTCGGTTATCATCAGATAATGGAAAATTTCAGATATGAGATTTAAATCTCTGATTGTATTTGAATCCAGTGAAATTTAAAGAGTGAGAGACCACATTCACATTTTTATTACAGTAGATAGGTATAATTTTTCTATTATTAGTTATTATTCATATTTCACTGTCCCTAATTCATATGTATGTATAGGTCAAAAGAGTATATGTAGGGTTTGGTGCCCTCCACTGTGTCAGGCATCCACAAGGGGTCTTAGAACATTCCCCTGTGGATAAGGAGGGACAGCTGTAAATCAGAATAAGAGGGAAAGTAGGATAGCTATCAGTGATCTGCCTGAGGAGACAATTAAGGAAATATCCTCTTTATTAAAAAGTATACAGATAGCCGAAACCGGTTTGGCTCAGTGGATAGAGCATTGGCCTGCGGACTGAAGGATCCCAGGTTCGATTCCGGTCAAGGGCATGTACCTTGGTTGCAGGCACATCCCCAGTAGGGTGTGTGCAGGAGGCAGCTGATCGATGATTCTCTCTCATCGATGTTTCTAACTCTCTATCCCTCTCTCTTCCTCTCTGTAAAAAATCAATAAAATATATATTTTTTTTAAAAGTATACAGATATTTTGCCACTACTGACAAAGCTACTACCTTATTGCTACTAGCATGCTAAGACTTGAGGCACTAGTAATTTTTTTCAAAGAAAGGAAATTCATATGTTGATAAATTATGAAAATGCCTCCTCTCCCATCTCCTTTTTCTTGTCTCCTTTTTCCATTTTCTTAATGTGTATATTCTGGGTGAGACAAAAGTAGGTTGACAGTTTTTAGTATAAAAAACGTATTTTATTCTTTTATTTATTAATTACTAGAGGTCCAATGCACAAAATTCATGCACTTGGGGGCAGGGGGGCGCCTCAACCCAGCCTGCACCCTCTCCAATCTGGGACCCCTCGAGGGATGTCTGACTGCCCATTTAGGCCCGATCCTCCCTAAACAGGTAGTAGGACATCCTTTCACAATCCAGGACTGCTGGCTTCAAACTGCTCGCCTACCTGCCTTTCTGATTACCCTAACTCCTTCTGCCTGCCAGCGTGATTACCCCCTAATCACTCCCCTGCCAGCCTGATAGCCCCTAACTGCCCTCTCCTGCAGGCCTGGTCATCCCTAACTGCCCTCCACTACAAGGCCTGGTCCCCCACAACTGCTCTTCCCTACAGGCCTCGGTCCCTCCCCCCCAACTGCCCTTCCCTGCAGGCTCAGTCACCCCCAACTTCCCTACTCTGCAGGCATGGTCACTCCTAACTGCCCTGCCCTGCAGGCTTGATCGCCCCCCACTACTCTCCCTTGCAGGACTGGTCCCTCCCAACTGTCCTCCCTTGCTGGCCTGATCACCCACAACTGCCCTTCTTTGCGGGCCTGGTCCCTCCCAACTAACTGCCCTCCCCTGCTGGCCATCTTGTGGTGGCTATCTTGTGTGTTGGAGTGATGATCAATTTGCATATTTCTCTTTTATTAGATAGGGTTATATTATTTTCTATACAAACATCTGTAAACCTATTATATGTACTGTGATTTATTTACTTTACAGTGTGGGGCATTTAGACTTTCAAATTTTATGAGGAAATCACTGTAGTTTGATCTTGTTATACTTGCCTAGGAGAAATTCTTAAGACTAATCATCTGGGTCAAAGCTTTTTTTTTATTATTATTGTTTAAAGTATTGCATACAGTAGTAATAAATATATCTCCTTTTTTATTCCCCCCTTTGACTTTCCCCCAGCTTCCTCTACCCCCTGTCATATACTCTCATCCCACCCTCCAGTGTCTTGTGTTCATTGGTTGTGCTTATATACATGCATACAACTCCTTTAGTTGATCTCTTTTCCCCCCCTTCCCCAACATTCCCCAGCCTTTCCAATGTAATTTGACAATCTGTTCAGTGTTTATTGCCTTTGTGTCTTTTTGTTCATCAAGTTATAATGTTCTTTATTTTCCATAAATGAGTGAGATCATGTGATATTTTTCTTTCATTGCCTGGCTTATTTCACTAAACATAATGCTCTCCAGGTCCATCCATGCTTCTGCAAATAGTAAGAATTCCTTCTTTGTTACAGCAGCGTAGTATTCCATTATATAGATGGCCCATAGTTTTGATTTTTTTGTTTTTAAATATATTTTCTATTAAATTATTATTTTTGTACGTATACCAATGCCCCCCCCCCCTCCCATACATACCCTCCCTCCCCAGAGTTTTGTGTCCATTGGTTGTACTTATATGCATGTATACAAGTCCTTCGGTTGATCTCTTATTTCCCCCAGATCTCCCCAACCTCCCCGCTGTAATTTGACAGTCTGCTTGTTGCTTTACTGTCTCTGTATCTATCTTTTGGTTCTTCAGTCTATAATGTTCTTTATCATCCATAAATAAGTGAGGTCATGTGGTGTCTCTCTTTCATTGACTGGCTTGTTTCACTCAGCATGATGTTCTCCAATTCCATCCAGGTTGCTGCAAACGATGAGAATTTTTTCTTTTTTATGGCAGCATAATATTCCATTGTGTAAATGTACCATAGTTTTTGGATCCAATCATCTGCTGATGGGCACCTAGGCTGTTTCCAAAGCCTAGCTATTGTAAATTGTGCTGCTATGAACATAGGGGTGCATATATCCTTTCTGACTGGTGTTTCTAGTTTCTTGGGATATATTCCTAGGAGTGGGATTACTGGGTCAAATGGGAGTTCCATTTGCAGTTTTTTGAGGAAGCTCCATACTGTTCTCCACAGTGGTTGCACCAGTCTGCATTCCCACCAGCAGTGCACGAGGGTTCCTTTTTCTCCGCAACTTCGCCAACACTTGTCGTTTGTTGATTTGTTGATGTTGGCCATTCTGACAGGTGTGAGATGGTACCGCATTGTTGTTTTGATTTGCATTTCTCGGATAATTAGTGACTTTGAGCATGTTTTCATGTGTCTCTTGGCCTTCCTTCTGTCTTCTTTTGAGAAGATTCTATTTAGATCCATTGCCCATTTTTTAATTGGGTCATTTATCTTCCTTTTATTAAGTTGTATAAGCTGTCTATAGATGTTGGAGATTAAACCTTAATCAGTGATAGCATTTGCAAATATGTTCTCCCATACAGAGGGCTTTCTTGTTGTTTTGTTGATGGTTTCCTTTGCTGTAAAAAAGCTTTTTATTTTGATGTAGTCCCATTTGTTTATTTTCTCTTTAGCTTCCATTGCCCTAGGGGCAGTATCAGTGAAGAAGTTCTTTTGGCATATGTCTGAGATTTTGCTGCCTGTGGATGCCTCTAGTATTTTTATGGTTTCCCGTCTTATGTTTAAGTCCTGTATCCATTTTGAGTTTATTTTTGTGTATGGTGTAAGTTGGTGATCCAGTTTCATTCTTTTGCATGTATCTGTCCAATTTTCCCAACACCATTTATTGAAGAGACTGTCTTGACTCCATTGTATGTTCGTGCCTTCTTTGTCAAATATTAACTGAGCATAGTGATTTGGGTTGATATCTGGGTTCTCAATTCTATTCCATTGATCTATCAGTATATGTCTGTTCTTGTGCCAGTACCAGTCTGTTTTGAGAACAATGGCTTTGTAATACAGCTTGAAATCTGGTATTGAAATCCTTCCTACTTTACTCTTCTTTCTCAGGATTGCTGTGGCTATTCGGGGTCTTTTGTTGTTCCCAATGAACTTTTGAAGAGTTTTTTCTAGGTCAGTGAAATATGCTGTTGGTATTTTAATTGGGAGTGCATTGAACCTATAGATTGCTTTGGGAAGTATGGACATTTTGATGATGTTGATTCTACCAATCCATGAACATGGTATGTTCTTCCATCTGTTTACATCCTCCTGTATCTCTTTTTTCAGTGTCATGTAGTTTTCCGTGTATAGGTCTTTTACCTCCTTAGTTAAGTTTATTCCAGGGTATCTTAATTTTTTTGGTGCGATGGTAAATGGGATTGCCTTTTTACTCTCTGTTTCTGCAAGTTCATTATTGGTGTATAGAAATGCCATAGATTTTTTGGCATTAATTTTGTATCCTGCTACATTGCCAAATTCATTTATTAAATCAATTAGTTTTTTAATGGAGTCTTTTGGATTTTTTATGTACAATATCATGTCATCTGCAAATAAGGATAACTTTACTTCTTTTTCAATTTGGATGCCTTTTATATCCTCTTCTTGTCTAATTGCAGTGGCTAGTACTTCCAGTACTATGTTAAACAAGAGCGGTGAGAGTGGGCAACCCTGTCTTGTTCCTGTTCTTAGAGGGAATGGTTTTAGTTTTTTCCCATTGAGTATGATGTTGGCTGTGGGTTTATCATATATAGCTTTTATTATGTTGAGGTATGATCCTTGTACTCCCACCTTGTTGAGAGTTTTATCAGGAAAGGGTGTTGGATTTTATCAAATGCTTTTTTTGCATCAATTGATATGGATG